TCATATAAAATATGGAATTTACAATTTATGTAACATTATTGTTTAGAGAGCGTTGAGAGATTAACTTTTTACCAATTTGTAAAAAGTGTTCATTGAATATATCAACTATTTCTTGTGGGTCTTGTAAAGTTTGGTATTTTGTAGTGGAGTTCTATATTTTTTTCTGTTACTATTAGTTGGTGCTGTTGTCTTTTTAATAATGTTCCGCATAGCTTTTGTTTTGTTATGTGCATTTGCAATGTACGTATTATTTGTCATTATTTTTGCTTGCTTGATTACATTTTTTAGGATCAAATTATACATGAAATTAAGTTTGAGTTACATTTGTTATTTGTTAGGGATTTATACATGTCGTGTTTTCTTTCACATGACACTGATACTTTTGGTAGTCTAAAATTTGGTTTTCTTATGTTGGATCTTTTTGAGTTTTTCAGGAAAAATAGCATTGAAATATCTTAAGTATATATTTATGAATGAATTAAACTTATCAATAGTAACAGTTACCTTATATACTTCATTCCAGTTTTCAAATCTGAGTAAGTTTTGAAATTTTATTATGTTTCCTTGGAAATAGTTTCGGATTTCTATGTAAGTTATCTCTTCTGTGATTTTTGTTCCTGTTCGTAGTGTTAAAATCTGGGCAGTGGGGTCACTGAACCCTGTATTAAATGTAGCAAAAGAAAAACAATGGTTATTTACATCTATTATTATTTGTTCTATAGCAGTGCTACTATTTTTGGATATTCGGGTTGATGTATACATGGTTGGTTGTAGATTGTATGATTATAGTAGGTCATTAAACACATTTTCATTACTAGATTGTGTGAGGCAATTTATATTGAAGTCATTGCAAAGATTAATTTTATACTGTCTGCCTTTTTATATTTTTGTTAGAATAACTTCAAGATTTTTTTAAAAGTTTTTCAAAGTCCCAATAGAGCTGTAATATGTGCATAAGACTCATGATTTTATTATAGTTAAATCAGTGATGGATATTTCAAAGTCTTTCTCTTTTGTAAGATGAATGTAATTGGTGTAGGATATAAAACGAATAGTAGTCCTATCTTTAGTGAAAATGCATATCCCACCGTAAGCCTCATGTACATTGTTAATATTTTGACATGAGCTAAAGAGAAGTCTGGTATATTTGCGTTATCTAATTGTTCTTTAGTTAGCCAGTGTTCTGTAAAGCACAATATTGAAGTGTCGTTGAGCTTTTCCTGAAGATCTCCTGAAGATTTCTATATCAATGAGTTGGTTTTTGACAGTACATTTTGATAAAGAATGTGAAAATAGTTTTTATTTTTGTAGAATGTCTGCTTTTTTGTTGATGTTTCCTGCTAATGGTTATACGCAGGACTTGTTTTTCGGTTGCAATGGAAGTTGTAATTACGGATGAGATGGGGAGAAGGAAGTGTGGAAGTAGGAGAAGGAGCTAGGGAGGGTAAGATAGGTGTAGAGGAAGTTGAAAGAAGTAGAGTGGATAAACAAGTCATGGAGGCCGGAGGAGGAACTGGAGAGGGTAAGAGAGGTGTGGAAGCATATAAGACTTACAGCTCTGTTAATACTAACAACCATAATTGCAGATACAATTGAATGTATAATTGCAATTTTTCTTCATGAGAATGATTCACACAATTTAAATATTTCATCAGTACCAACTGCAGTTTCTAGAGAATGATAATGCAAAACAATGAACCACAATGTACTAATTGGTACCTTATACTACACTCAATGGTACCTTATTTTAGTGAATTGATATACTCCAAAAAGTGCCAATTTTTTGACTGAACTGAATTTCCTTAGGGCTTAAAGAATTTTTTAGCATTACAAAAGCAAAATGACTTCACTACATTTTCATACACAAATCTCCTAAACATATGAAAAAAACATTTCTTGGTATCTCCATTTCATTTTTGGTACAGTATTTGCAGATTCATAGGGTGAAAATTCATCTGAAAATCATTGTTTCAAGCTTAACTAGCCAAACAAAAGACTTGCAACAATATACTTTCTCAAAGTCCAAAAAGTGTAAGAATACTATTCACAATTAGATGAGCATCTTTATCTGTTTATAACTTATATATCTTTTTGTTTAGGAGGTGATACATTTTGGTACAATGCCACACTTGTCTAGAACAACTTCCACAAGCAATAATTAACACGAGCAAGTTTTTCTAGAAAGTATTGTACATGTCAACAATTTTCCCTATACATAACCAAAATACTAATCAGAGAATTAGTGCCCAACAAATTTTTCTTTTCAGCTTTCTCTTATCCTGCGAGCTAACATTGCTTCAAATGTCAAATTTCTCTCCTGACAAGAGAAACTATTCAACAATTCAAGGGACAAAGAAGTTCCCAAAGTTGTCACCAACTAATGTTGCATTTCAGCTCACCCATACAGGGCTCTAAGGCATGACAGAACAAAGGCTTCTTTATTCACAAACCATCCACCACTCGCTGCACACCACGTTCTTCAGTCAAACTCATGTCAATGCCGTACAGTTTTGCTACTAGCATATAAAAACACTTTGTAGAATAACTCATTATTCATTGGACAATTTACTACAATTGTATATTACAACAATACAATAGATACATCAAGTTGGAAATTGACTTTGCAAATCAAAATTAAAAATAAACTATATTTTCCACATCAATTAAAATTAAATTAATATAAATAAGTACATCAAACATATCTCTAAAGGCACAAACAAGACCTGAAGACTGGTGACCAAGTATAATTAAAAAATATGTAAATATACACTTATTATATATTTAAAAGAAACTTAAAATAAAAAACTTAACTTATATTTAAAATTAAATATTTAAATTATATTAAAATATACTTCTTATATATTTATTATTATATACTTTAAACAATACATAAAAATATGGAGGTGTAAACCTCCTGGTCTCCTGGACAAGAAGATCAGGCAACAGGCCTAGCAGCCTGCAGTTTATGGTGATGATGATGATGATAATGTATAAGTATAGTTGTTGATCTTATAACATACACGTAAAGTCACTGAGCTGAAAATTTTGTTATTTATTAAAATAATATAAAATTGAATTAAATTAAAATAAAGCAACAGGAAAAGTTGGAAATGCTGAGGAAACAGTGACCACTACGAACAAGAACGAGGAAGAGTAGGGTCGAATCCAGCCGATAATTTGATGAGAGGAGCATAGCAGAATCTGCTTGGTCAGACGAAAGAGCAAGCCTTCACCTCCATCTTCAGGTACATTTCTTTAGCTAAAATTAAATTCAATAAATTAATTTTGGCCAAAGAAATGTACCTGAAGATGGCGAGACACAGATCTCCGAAACATTATGTCAACACTTGGTGGTGAAGTACACCTACTTTCCTCATTTTTATTTACTGAATTTTAACCTGATTATAATAAATGGAACTTTTTGTTAATACAAGTATGACAGGCAATAAAAGTGACTTAATAAAATCCGAACATGTTAATTGTTAAAAATGACAAAGGCAGTCAACTGCCTTCAAGAAAATAGAATATATGTTAAAAAGTTGGGGCCAACTAAAAAAAATGAATTATTCCTCTTATTTTAAAATCTATAACAGTACATTACATAAACAGGGGTATCCTATAAAATCAATCAAATCTTCATTATGGACTCTTCTTTATCAGGTCTCTTATTCTCTAAATTCATTACTCCCTTTAGATTCTCATAATTAAGAAACACCATCCAACAATGAAAAGTTATTTGGAGAATCTCAAATTTCTGTGTCGCAGTGTTCCCACTGTTGTATTGCAACTAGGAATTCAACAAGGAGTGTACCAGAAACATATCCTTTGATTGCAACCTGATAACTCCTGAAAGATTCTAGTAAATGTAGTGTGGGAAATTCCAATCTGTTATTTCAAAAATAGAAAAATTATGCTAAACTACTCATGCCTTAAAAAAAATTGTAATACATGACCTTTTTAAAGGACTGATTTTTTAGCACAGATTCTATTAAACAAAAAAAATTTTCATCAATATTGTACTTTTGCAATGTAATTTTTTTGTAATCACAGTGAGTTTGCTGAAAATGGGAGCATCACCACTTTCTTTATTGTTCTTTGCCATAAGGAAAAAAAAATAAAGAAACACTTTGGATCCGTTTTGAAAAAATAGTTGTTTAAAAATTGCCTGTCTTTCACGCAAAATCTACTATCTTTTTCGAAAAATTGAAAAAGAATTTATTTTAAGATCTACTTTTGATTATCAGACTTCAATAAAAAAAATCCTCGACATTATAGTTGAAGGAAGACGTCGATAAAAAGAAGAAACTTTTCTGTTTTCGAAAATTCAACGAAAATGCAACTCAACATTTGCTCTTTCTGAGGAAAATAATTAAAGGAAAAATTTGGAGTATTTTTTGAGAAAATGTTGACGTTTTGCGTACAGAATCAAAACAAAAAATCACAATATTATCCGTTTCAAATTCAAGAACCCGCAGCATCAGTCTCGAGGAATATCATTTTTAGTGAAAATCCTGCTTACGGTTTAGCTGCGGGGCAGACACGGACACAACACAACGTTTTATAGTCAGTCGATTTTTCAGTGTCAGGGTCCCTCAATACATGGCATTCTGAGTACACAACGTACTAGATGAAGCAATTTACTTCATTTTAAAACAAGATTTATCCACTTTTTCGTTGCCAGGGCGCAGAGAGTATTATACGAGCCTGATAATGAGTTTTTTTTTTGTGTAAAAAAATCGCAATATTCCGGTGCACGATTACAACACTTTCTCTTATTACGAAGTAAGGCCGTGAAAGGAAAAGGAGTGAATGAAGCACTTTTGGGCACAAGTATTCGCGCGCGAAGAAAGTTGAATTTGCTCCATGTCGTGAATGGCGAAAGGCGCAAACTATGTAGGAAATTGTGATATACAATAATAATATCATGGATAATGTCACTTATTTTACTGAGTTAAAATAGGATCGTGTGTCCAATACTTCCTTTCAGCCTTCCTTTCCTTTTTTATGCGACTTAAAGTATTAACCGGTAAAACTTCGTGGAAACATGAATTCATTGAAGTAAAACTGGGAAACGATGGTAAAGTTTCCCAGTCTGGTTAATGATATGTCAAGTTTGGAATTAAACGAAGAAAGATTCTGCGCTAATTATTGGACTGCTTAATAAACATGTGAAGGGAATAAGTAGCACCGAAATGGAAATTATAAAATATTACTTTTGTCAGAAGCCAACTGCAGAAGACGATTAAATCGGTCCAATAATGACGTGATCACAATGCAACATTTTCTGTGGGGAAAGGTAGTTTTGGTGCTTGTGGCTGTAGTTGCCATTCTTCAAGTTGTTCACTTGGTTCTCCTTAGTAGATTAGAGTCTAGACATCATAGACATGATGAACAAACCGATCCTGTGTCATCTTCAGGAAATGAGGTTAGTTTCCACAACCTGTTATTAATGAATTCAGTATCACCGGCACTCCACCTTTTTTCTTAAGCTTAATATCCGTGCAAAATCTAAATAGTAACTGGGCAACACAAAAAGACACATGCCAAAGAAGTCTAAACCAACATTTGAGAAACAAGGTTGTAACCACCGTAATTCTCTTTTTTTTCTGTATTTCTGTGAAAACAACAACAACAAACGTTTTGAAAAGATGCCTTCAAATGTAACGGAGAGATTTACAAATTTAATTAATGAATGTAACAAAGGATAACTGTTGTAATTTGTAATTTTTTTTTTTTCTTCTCCATTTTCCTTCTGTATTTTCTATTATCAATTTCTTGAACCATGAATAGTTTTTAATTTTATATTCATACTTGCATTTCTTTTTAATATTTAAGTGCATTAATGTTGTAAATTTTTTTTTCTACTTACCTCCATTAGTTTTCACTACTCTCATCTTACATTGAGGTGGATCTGAGTTTTGAAGTCTGAAGGAAAGGGGTGGTGGTGGTGGTGGAGTTGAATCTCCTTAAAAGTATTGGATAAAAATCTCTACAAATGCAGTATTAAAAAATGTTTTTATCAGGGCACTAATTCTGATGACATATCATCTTTTCACTAGTGCATTCTGGATGAAGCTAACATGTAAAGAAATGTTTATGACGACATAGAGATAATAGAATCATATAGTTATAGGTTGTTTTTTGCCATTTTTTAAATTTTTGTTTGTTTGCATAATTTTTGTTATTTTTATGTGTTTGTTTCCTTTTCTTTTTTTTTTATTAGTGAATGTTTCATGAATTTATAATCCTTCTCAAAATTACTCAGAGATTCACATAATTTCCTCGACCTTTCAAAACTGTTGATTGAAAGATCAGAGTTAAGGATTATATTTCCTCCTAAAATAAAATCTTTAGTTTAAATATAATTTTTTATAAATAAATTTTATTTGAAATTCATATGAATTATAAAATCTATTGGATAAATGAACACAATTATAATTTATTTTAGTATTAAAAAAAACATAATTTTCTCCTTATTTTGATGTAATTTTGTAGGTCATTTTTCTCTTATTTTTAAGCCATTTTATAGGTAATTTTCAAAGCATTTTTAGATCATCAGAATCTGAGCTCTGGTTATTATACTTGTGAATCTGTTACAAGCCCAGGTCAAGGAAGGAACTGTGCAATTGGGCTGTGTTTTCACTACTGAAAAGTTATCACAGTTAAAAAAATTCCATTCTCAACAATTACCGTGTTGATAATGGTAATACAAATATTTAATTTTGATGTTATTTAAATTTGCTGGTTACAATTCTAAATCAGTGAATTAATTTATTAAAAAAATAAACACTACAAGCAAATTGAATAAAAATAGAGCTAACTGTTCAAAAGTGGGAAGTGTTGGACTTAGACTTTTCTGGTTAAATTTTGTTTCTTGCAATCAGCATGATTGCAAGAAATAGGATCTCACTGAATATTTGTTTTAGACTCCAAAAATTGCCTTCCTGTTTTATATTTTACTAATTTGCTGTCATGAAATAATAATAATAATAATAATAATAATAATAATAAAAATAACAACAATAACAATATCAACTATAACAATAATATCAACTATAACAATAATATCAACTATAACAATAATAATAATAATAATAATAATAACAATAACAATAATAATAATAAAGTTTGTTGAAAAAAATTATTTATAAAACTTAGAAATTCTTAAAATTGTGAGGTTTAGCAGATTAATTGTTTTATTCTTCTTGTGAGAAATAATTCAAGTGGTATAGAACTATGTCAGTATATTTAATTTTTTTTATTCGTAATAATAACATATTCTACTACGTTACGTTGAAATTCGAAGGTCAATACTAAACCATTTTCTTTTTTGTACAGTGGACATTCTTTCCTCTCTTTTTAAGTTGAATGGATGCATAAACACTTAAATTGCATATTGATAGTGTTGTTAATATGGCTAACAAATCACTGGGTTATTTTTTTGAACTTGATCATAAAAATTAAGTCAATACAGTATTGAGACTTAGGTAGGTCTTAACACGAATATGTGTGTTTTTTGGTCTCCACATTTTGTTGGACTAAAGACTAAAATCAAATGTCAACGATGATTTACAATATGCTTTGAAAATGAACACTAGATCATATCCACCCAGAAGCATCATCAATGAATATCTGTTCACTCATTTCAATTTGGAAAGTTTGGATTCAAGGCATAAAATAGCTCAAATCATTTTGATTATAAAAACATTGAGAAATTTTATAGATCTGCTCTCTCATATTTCATAGGCATTGGTTCCTCTGTTTACTTCACCATATCAAAATATATTTTATCTCCCACATTTTTTGACAATTTTTTGACAGGCTGAAATGTAGTGTACAGTACAACCAAGGGAAGTCGTTTAAACTTTGCGCTGTACCGGTGTTAACTAGGCAGTTATAATTCTGGAGGCTTTCTTGATAAGTGATGTCTTATAAAAGTAAATTGGTAATTATGTGTTAGATAGACTCAAGGATGTTTATAGGGAACGCGAGAGCCGAAGGCCCGAGCCTTGCTGTGGCTTGAATCCGGGCGAGCGAAGTAAGAAAACTTGCCCTTGAAAGTAAATTGGCGTTACAATGCAGTGGGGACAAAGCATATGAAGGGTGAACCATGTAAATCACCTATCCGTAAGTTTTATTCATTTCTATTAGAGCACGTACAGTAATGGGGGCTTAAGCCCCGCCGCATCTCTAAGGGTGTACCATATACTAAATTTTAACCCTGTAACAGATGTCAATATTACAAAACAGCAAAATAATGTATATTACCCTGGATTTGGGGATACACGTTCGATATATTTATGTATTAAAAAAAATTCCTTTCCTTTTTTCCCCGTGAAAGTTACTCTTAAAAATCCCATCTACTGATTTCCCTGTTGATTGCAGCTGAATTTTAATTAGAATGTCTGTGTCTGCAGGTGGATGCTGCTTTTGCCATTCTTGCACGTAACCTGCACCAAGGCAGAGTCCTCGATGCCAGTGGGGAATACCAGGTGGTACCCAACCTAGCGTTGGGCACGAGAATGCCTGCAGTTCGCTCTCTGGGTGCTCTGCCTGATGTCACACTTGCGACTCAATGCTCTTATAATCATCTGTACTCTATTGTACCTCTGGTTCAACGGTGGCAGGTGAGCTTAATTAATTCCCGCTTTTAATTTGAATTCTGAAGTGACAGCACTAAATTGACCAAAATTCAAAACTCATTCTTTTGAAGGTAGGAACTCTTTCAAAGCGATGTTTCTTTAATTAAAAATCAAAAATCAAAACATTAACAACACAAAATTCACAAACTTTATATTACATTTTTTGACTGTTTTGGCCAGGTACAGTTCTGAAAGAATTAAACACTTTCATGTGAGCCCAACATGTATTAAATATTTTGTTAATATATGCAAAAATTAAAATGTTGTTAACTTATCATTGCATATTTTATTTATTTTTAATTTATTAACTTAAGTTAAATCTGTTTGAAATTATTGACATATACTAAATAGTTTTGGTATTGATTTGTTTAAAATTTCAAAAAGGGATCTAGCTTTTCTAACAAATTGCAAAGTTTATAGTTATAAGTAAGTTGTATTTAAGTAGTTGCTTTTGCTGTGCTGCAATGTTCCAGTACACTTCTAATTAATTAATTGTATAGTTTAAAAGTATGAAAGTGTAAATATAATTGTTATTGCATTATTGTGAAAGTTTATTTAATGACCATTGTATTGAAATTTCATTGGAAAATATTTCACTATTATTATTATTGTATGTAGACAAGAATTTTGGTTTACTTGTGTAAATTGGACAGTATTGTCTAGACAGTTGATCAATATGTTGACTGAAGTATGTTTTGCTACTCTGCTTGTTTTTTTTGTCCATTGTTAAATCAGTTGCAATATGTGTTGTACAGGGACCTATCTCAGTTGCTGTATTTGCTGAAGAACACGATTTGTCAGAGGCTCTGTGGGCTATCGTAGGCCTGCGCCTGTGTCACACAGAAGTACGGCAGAACGTGTCATTTCAGCTTGTGTCGCCTCTACTTGCTGGAGGCCATCCGCCCCTCACAGCTCCTCCTGACTCTACATCTCCCTGCCATCTCAAGAGGACACAGAGGCCTGACCAGCACAACTACGCTGGCTCTCATAGCTTCCCCAACAATCTGCTACGCAACGTTGCGAGGAGAGGGGTGGCAACTGAGTTTGTGTTGGTGGTGGATGTGGATATGTTACCTAGTGCCAATCTGCGGCAGGTAATTGCAGACCGAGACCAATCTAATACACAGGGAATAGATTAAACTGTTTCAGATGTCTGGATGATATGTATGCTAATTACTTTAATTTATTTTAATTGCATTACAAAGTAATTTGACAACATGCAACTCAAACCTCTCAATATTCATTTACAATGAATCACATAAGCAAGTTCTGAAATTTGTTTAATTCTAGATGTTGATTTAGCCAAGATTGCTTTACATTGTGTGGTCCTGGCCAGGGCATATTTATGACTGAATACTGAATAAGTAAAGTTGGAGGTTAAGGTTGGTGTAACACAAACAGGGGTTAGTTTGCATTGAAATTGACTGGGCACTTGCTACTAAGGTCAATAGCTTTGCCAATTGTTTTAGAAGTTTAAGTTGCTCCTGTAACCAAGAACTTGGCTCTTAGTAGCACCATAGATATGTATTTATAGAGTAGTCCAGCTTCGTGTTAAATGCTCTATGGTGACATGTTAGTCAGCGACTTGTGATTCGCAAGGCAATCAAGGAATATTACAGAGCATTACAATTCATAACACATCATCATTTTGAAAAATCTAATCAAAAAATTAATGTTTTTTATGAATATTTTTTTCTTTATGCCTATAAATAAAACATGTGAAGTAGAACTTTTGAATAATTTTTAAATAAAGAAATGATTTAAATCTAATGAATGTTGTCCATTGAAAGTGAATAGTGGAAGCATGAGGAAGAACAAGTATTTCTATACAGTTCACGAAAATATCTGGAAATGTTAGTAATCTAAGTAGTAAAGAAGGGTACCTAGGAGGTAAAAAACATCTGTTAGGAGGTAATAACAAATTTCAGTCTTTCCTTTCTAAGTCTATTGGACAAGTAAAAAACAACATAACTCAAGAGTCCTTCCCTTCAATATTGCTGCATTTAATTGCAGAATAGTGCGCTCCTTTTGACATGCATTGTTATAGGGTTAACTGGAAAAGAATAAGAATTAAGTTGGGGCGTATCGAAAATGTTCTGATTCATGTCAAATGTAAGGGTAAAAAATTTGTTTGATTTAATTTTACGGGTTATTTAATGACTTATCATTGAAATTTTAGGAATATAAAACCACGAGGTCATGAAATAGTATGAATTATCTTTTAAGGTTTTGACCAGCTCTTAATAAACGTAATTTCACAAAAAAATCCATATATTTCAGTAGCAGCTATCCATAGTTTTACTTGGTCTTCACCAGGATCACCAGCTGTATGTGTGTACATCCCTAACTAGCCAAAAAACGGGCTGAGTTGTGATACTGTTAAAATATGTATGCTGTGATATTCCCGGAGTATAATTTAGCTTAATAACAATTTGGCAATAAATGTGGCCAACAGATTCTCCCAGAGATCTTCCAACAATGCCGCTGATGCACAAGCACACGGACAAAGTGTGTGTGAATGACATGCAGCACAATTAATTTGGGGTGGTAACGCATTAATGTGTATCAGCATTGCAGATCAATATTTAATAATAATAATAATAATAATAATAATAATATTTATTTTTCAAAACAGGCAAACGCCCCCCAAAAAATACATGTAATAAAGGTTTTATGAATCAATTATACAATAATAATAATAAGGTACAGATATAAGATAAATGTGTAGCATACAAATCGTATCAAAAACAACAGGTTGATATAATACACTAATTGTGATCAAATAATATACTATTTTTTGCTAGAGTTTTAAAGTTATTGATAGATAACGATGTATCGATGTTATATTCATTAAAAATCCGTCACATTCTCCATAATGGCGCGTGATAATACAAATTTGTTCTCGCAGTAGATATAAAAAACATAGGCAATTCTGAATTATTTCGCAAATTTCCAACAGGAATCTTCCATAATAATTTAGACAGAAGTTCACCACTATCTAATTTATAATTAATCAATTTATACAAAAAAACATAAACATTATATTTTCTAAATGAATTTAGAGTACTTATATCCATAATAATGGCAATTTGATGGTAATCATGAGATACTCTTGAAGATGGTAATTGAAGCATGCATGCCATGTAATTTAAAAATGTATGCTGTGTGGATTCAAGTGTTCTAATGTGAATCTGATAATAAGGAGACCATATTTGAGATGCATACAATAAATTAGATCAGACTAAAGAATTATACAAGAGCTTAAGTACATACGGATTTGAAAATTCAGAAGTCATCCTTCTAATAAAACCGAGCATTTGATTTGATTTTCCAAGAATATAGTCAATATGATGATTAAATCTCAGCTTATTATCAAATATTACACCCAAATCCTTGAATAAAGTAACAGATTCAAGACTATATAATATAGAAAACAAATAAATTTGGCAGCGCTATGAGGAATATTACATCTTTTCTGCCTTCCTAAGTCAAAATATTAATTTTTTGAATTTGTCTTTTGATATTTTATTGACAAACTTCTTGAAATGTTGTAGATAGAAATCGTTGCAATAATGTGAATACATTTTTAAATATTCCAATTGTTGATCTAATTCTTAGTTTTGTGCTACATAATGGATAATGTACTCATTTTCAAGCAAATTGAAAATTAACTAATCAGTTTAAAAATTTAGTGCAAATGATTAATTATTAATTGGTTTTACTTAATAAACACTATTTGATATCGTATTTTTGCATTTAAATGAGGCACCTGTCTCATTTATTTTAAATTAATTAATTAATTAATTATCTGTAGAATTATTCAATAATGAGTATGTTATTAAAAGAAACATTTATAAAACCTGAAAAAATTGTATTTTTTGAAATGTAATTTCAGTGTCTTTTTTTTTTTTTATCTTATATCAAATTCAAGAATTCTACAAGAAGTATGTTGTTGCAGGATTTCTACAATTTTGCAGTCAAAAGTAGATTGTTTAGTGAATCTCGGCGTGAAGATAAGACTGTGTATGTTGTACCTGCATTTGAAGTAAGAGAAAATGTTCCTGCACCTAGGATCAAAGCTGAATTACTTCAACTGGCTGATAAAGGCGATTTGCGACCATTTTACATTGAACTCTGTTGGAAGTGCCAGGTAAACAAAACTAAAGACATTAATTATTGTAGGCAAAATTATATTTGAACATTTTTGCTTTAAATAAGCTCTCATTTTGATGCTCTATTATTTGCAATTCCTTTGTAATCTTCATTATTTTTTTTTTTTTTACTTTTTCTAAGGTGTTTCATAATTAATTCTGTTTAAATGTGATTATATATTGACAAATTTTCCAATTACTGTCTAAAATATTTAAAACTGAATATTTTAAAATTTTGCTTGGTCATCGCCACATTTATTGATTACCGAATGCCTTGCCTCTGGCAATTACCTACATTTAATTTCATTAAATTTAATTTTTGTAATCAATGTTAGGTGGATACATGATTTGTAGAAAGATTTTAAGAGTCTTATGCTTTTATTGTATTCTGACTTTTCATTGCTTTAAGGATTCTATTTCAAAGGTATCAAACTACAGTAGACTCCAGTTATAGTGAACATCTGGGGACTAACATTTTTGGTTCACAACATCCGATGATGTCAAAATTAAATAGAATTTCTCCACAATGATTCTTGTATTGATATGTAGATACTGTATAATACATTAACAGCCCAAACTGAAATTTTCGAAATCTTTATTTGATTTTTTAAAAAGGCAATTATTTTCAATTGTTTTCTTCATATATTTTTTATTACGAATTTCTATACATCCTTCTTCAGAATCCATGCTTTCTCCATACTTGATTCTGCATTGTCCACTGTCTCTAAGTATTGTAAAGCAGCCTTGATACCTTTCAATGCCTCTTGCACCATCCCATTCTCCGAAGGCCCTTTTACTCTCCTAATAATGTAGGAGATGCATTTGGTAGTGGGATGGCGCAAGCGGCTAATGAAACTGATTGCTTTTCCGCGCAGCATGGGTATATCATCAGTCTGTGGCGATCGCATGCTTCCTGTCACCTACATAGATAACATACACAATGTGCGTTATCCCGTGGAATATCAAGTAACATCAAGCTTGAAGTGCCGCTGTCAGTTGTAGCCCATGCAGGACACAGTGTTTGTTTCCCTAGTGAAACTAAGTGGCATGGGGTTATCAGTAAGGTCTTCGTTCCGGGTCCACTACCTTCATCTCAGGGGAGATTTCTTTGATTATGACCGATGACTGATATTTTTTTCTAGCTGCATAGTGTTGGAATTTGTGGCACTCAGGCGATATATTATTTTCTATGAGGGAATTAATTTCCAGGTCATTCTATTTCCTCAGGTTCACTATAACCAATCTTCTTTCACTTATTTGTATTGTAAGTGAAACGGGACCAGTGCCTTAAGTTCATTATAACCGGAGTCAATTGTATATGCAACTGTTACGAATGTCTTCGTTTCATTCAGTGCTTTCTAGACACAAATTTTCCCCATCTTCAACCAACCATTTTCTGCAGAAACAAGTGTGTGGAACTGGTTGAATTTTCTAAACTTTGAATTTTTAAATATCTAAATAAGAAACACGTAATATATTGACAGTTACAAAGTGTTGGTGGGAACATCATTCTTTGTAAAAGAAAAATCCAAAAATTCTTGTGAACAAGTTTGTTAAAACTAGAACATTGGGGCAGCAAGACAAAATTTGATGATTTGCTGCAAAAAAGTGCTTTTGGGAACCTCAAAAACCATAATCATTTTCTATTTTGCTTTTAATGCAGTGACTTCATAATGTCAGTGTCCCCAAAAAGTAGGGTTACATCTCCATCAAAAGACGGGAATGTAATTCCTAAAATTCAGAACACTAACCTATATATTATTAGGAAGCATGATTTTTCTGTACATTCCCTGAGAACAAGTGATTGAACAGATTAACTAAAAACTAGTCTAAAAGTGAAGATCATGGACATACTGAAGTATGCCTATGGTTCACGAAGAAATTACTTCTCTAAATGTTTATGATCTTTTTCTGAAAATTGCAATTTTGAGATAACTGCTAGAACCTGGACCGTGTAGTACTGTGTTTTGGTGAGCAGCAGAAGCTTCCCATTGAAACTGGAATGCAAACCCACTGTCCCTGTGTGTTTTTGTGCGTGGTGTAATCTGTTGTGAACTGAAGGAAATACATCTCTTGCATGTCACTATCTATCAGATAAAACTGCCTTGTAAGTTGTCTATTTTCACAAGTGGTTCAGCTTTTATATAATAAAACATGCATAACAATAAATAAAAGTCTAATATGTTCAGATATAACTTACATAATTGTATGTCAGTTGTGCTTGTCTCCAGTTTACATGGTTCTGGCTTTGATCTCCATTGGACACTAAAATTTCTATATTGGTACATGTAACGAGACAATTGCAGGTAATACAATTCATACAAAACAAAAAGGACTAGAATTGGAAAACATGGTGATCTCATTGCAACAAGCACTTAACGTGAAATTATTAGCAAATTTATAACGTTTCTTATTATAGCGATATCTAGTAACATTTTTTTCAAAATGTGAAGTTTGTTTATAGTTTAATGTGGATATAGTAAACAATATTTATTAAGGCTAATCTCTCATTTTCTCAGAGGAAATTCACATGCCTGCCTTTTTTATGTTGTATTTTCCAATCACCTTTGTATGAGCCATTGGACAAACAGTAGCAGCAACGATAACAATAATAATTACAACAACAAAACTTATCACAAACGGTAATTGTACTTCAATATCTCACAGTCACCCGTATACATGACAACATAAAATGACTGCTTAGAAAAGACTCAGCACACACAGAGGACAAACAGAAAGAGAACTTTCTTCCAAGATAGTCAATCTTCCCATGAAAGAAACTTCTGCACTAATGCTCTCACTAAATGCACATTTTGAATTAACAAACCTAATATAAAATGAAAATAAATTCACCAAGCATTCTAAATAATGTATTCAAAACTGTCAAGAACTGACTGAACTTGTGTTCTTTCAATAACATGTGAATTCATAAAAATAAGAAGCATTTTTTATAGCAAGATTGAGGTGAAACCAGAAACCTGTCCCTCAAGGGCAGCGTGTGATGAGGTCCCCAAGCTCTACGATGTAAGCCTGTGGGGCTTTCTACAAATTGTTGCAGTGTTCAAATGCATGGACAAAGACCGAGACCTCACAATGTCGTCGCAGAGGGAACATACAGCTTTGGCTTCAAATGTTAAATGTCCATGACAGAGTGACATCATTAGTGAGTCTCACAGCATTCATATGCTGGCTGACTTGCAGGTATAAAGCAATTTTTATAAGAATGAGTGACAGTTTTCTAAACAAGTGAACATCACGTGCAATTCAGAAAAGTATCCCTTTGCCGTGGCAGCTGTTCAGCCTTGCCTCTGTGTAAAGTGTTTGTTTATGGCTCCCATGAAGATATACAGAAGTCTAAAAATTTCCCTCAGGTACATGCATGTACGCAAGACCGGGAAATAAGGAAATATAATTACGTATGTGGGAAAATGTCTCATGGCGCACTGTATTTTCACCGGATGAGGACATAACAAAAGAAAGTGTCAAAGCCATTTACGAATTAGCCAACTGCAAACAAACGAATGGAAGAAAGAGAGTGTAACAACAAGATATTGCGGAATATCTTGATTATTGAATGACTTTAAATTGGAAAGATGTATTTGTAAACTATGATAAGTTTTGTATAATTATCTGAAGGCTGTGCAATTGTGCAACCTAAGCTTGAATCGCCACTATTTTGTTCTGATTTTCAGTGTTTTGTGTTGTAGGTCCACACAGATTATGAAGCTTGGCAGAAGGAGCCTCCGTCATCTGGATTATCACCTTTGTTTGAGGTTCTCTGGAAAGACCCTTGGGAACCATTTTACATTGCCAGAAATTCAGTGCCATTTTATGATGAACGCTTCAAGCAATATGGGTTTAATAGAATCAGCCAGGTGAGACAAGATGTCACATTGTCTTCAAATTTTTTAAGTGATGTAGTCCTTTTGTTGCTGTTATGTCAGCATGGCTTTCCTAGTGTGGCACTATTTTTACAACAAGTATTCGCAAAGTGGTCTACTAGGTTCCAGAATCTAGAAGAATGAATTTTTCTAAGAGCCTCCATACTTGTCAAGACGATAGAATCTTACTAGAAATAAATTTATGTCCGTAGCACAGCTGACATTCACAACATTTTGCAGGCATAAACTTATGTCAGTTTCATTGGAATAAATAGATATTGTCCTCCCTTTCTGATCTTCAAATGAAAGATTGAGGCACTTTATAGGTGCTATGATTCTGTCACAATTCTAGTAATGGTTTGAAGTTGTAAGAAAATCATAACACAAGGGAAATGCCTCAAGATCTTGGAAAAACTAAGAAATTCTATGAGTTTTAATATTATAGGTGAAAAACTCAACATACTGCTCTTCAGCCTGAGTTTCACATGATAATGCTGTTTCCCTCTCTCTCTCTCCTGGTTTCCTCTGCATCCTCTCATCCCTCCTCCCCTTCCCCTCTTGTCTACTTCTTTCCCTCTCTCCCCATTCTCTCTCTGCCCCTTCCCTCTCTTCCACTCTCGCTTTTGAGTACGTACATAATTTCTTAGTGATCTAGTGAAGTATTTTACACCAGTTGAAATGGCCTTATTTCACTTAGTAATGTATAATTGCATACATGAATGATCTAACAAGAAAATCCTTAAATCAAAATAGCAATTTATTAATATCTTCTACAAGCCTAGAAATGACATACATGCATACTATTATCTTGTACTTACAAAGGAACTGAAAACACCCGTAACACCACACACAGCAGCATGGGTAGAGTCTTCATTAGTCAAGTGCCTTATATTAGTTTCTGGATTTGTATAAAGCAGTGGTTTTCAAACTTTTTGCTGCCTTGACTCCCTTGAGATAACAAATTCTACCCACACCTCCTATCATGAAAATAAAATTGATAATAACAACTTAATATTTTTTCCTGTAAGTAAGGCCATCCATGTATACTTTTTTATTATATACTTACAGTGTACAAAACAATTATTGCCAGTGATATGGACTATTCACTGTTGTAATTATTGAATTTTATTAATGCTTGACAAATTGTGGAAAATTGTAAGTAAAACTATAAAAAACAAACATATTGAACATCAGACAAGTCAAAGAGATGAATGGACTTGTTTGTTGTCACACAGTTCATTGAATCTCGGCACTAATTTAGAAGTGGCAATATGCATCTCATTCTTGAGATTTATTCTTGTTCTATATTGTGTTGTAATTGCCATCATTGTCGAAAATCTTGTTTCATGTAGGTAAGAAGTGGTAAAGGGAAGCATAAGACGCAAGGTTTTCTGTGGATACTCATTCCTTACAAAGCTCTAAAATTCAGATGGTGTTGCAGTTTGATACATTGTCTTTAGAATGTTGTATGATGAAAGATAAATAAGTTATTCTTCTCCTTTTGTGAAATTTGGAAATAATAAGAGCATTATTAAGCATTAGAGCACTACTTTGGTTCAGTTTTATTAGTTACTTTTTATTGTAGTTAGTAGTAAGTTAGTTTTTGCATTTCCTCCCTGAAACTGTCATGCTTCCCTGGGGAGGTATGCCTCACAGTTTGAATAGCACTGGTATAAAGTATCATTTCCTATATAAATATTGAAGATCACTAAATTTGGACTGAAGAGAGTTTGGTAATAACTTCAATTATCAGAAAGAAAATGGATGTTGAGTTGATTCAGGAATGAATGCATGAAATGTTGAATGGGTTTAAGTTATGTAATTCAATGATCATTGCAAATAAATTACTTCTGACTTACATTTTTTTTTATTTAACATCTTGAAATAGTAACTAAAAGAAATTTGAAAAGCTACTTGTAAAAAGTTTTAGAAATTTTTTATCTCTACTTATTTTTTTCAGGTTTGTGAATTGCATGTGGCTGGATATAAATTCTCAGTACTTAATAATGGATTTTTAGTCCATAGAGGTCTTAAAACCACCTCTTCTTTTCATCTAAACAAGGACCTTGACCAAGAGAGAAACAGGTTACTTTTCAGACAATTCAAGGTGGAACTGAGAGAGAAATACCCAGAGTCGTCCAGAAGATGCTACTGACATTTACTACCAGGCTGGGATATCGTTGCTTCTCAGCTTAACACTTCCAAAGAGCAATTTTCTGAACATACTGAGCTCTGCAAATGAAATTTTCTCAGGATCTTAGTCCTTCTGCATCTTCTGATAAGTTTTGAGAAGGACTTAGTCATTCAGGTTTTCCAGAGCTTAAGAAAAATCTCAGAGAAAGACAGTGATATTTGATGATCACAGTTATCTGAAAATGAGAACATAATGAGCCTAGGGAATGAACCTATAGTCCAGGGTGAGTTACTTCAGCTGGAAAAAAAGCAGACTTGTGTGTTCCTCATAATATTAGCAATAAATAATTTGTGCCTTTCCAAGACTCCAAGCATTACTGTAGACTTGGGAGATAACCAACATCATTTATGAAGAGCAAAGGCAATGCAATTCTCATAGCCAGCAAGTGGGCTAAAGTACTGACGGCCTAAAACTAGGTGCACTTCAGGGCTGTTGTAATTTGCAACTCAATTTTGTCAATTCAGAAATTTGTTTTTTGTTTTTGTTTGTATCCAAAAAAAAGTAGATTTTATCTTTGGCAATATGTATAACAATTCTCAGAACTTTGACTCGCTATAAGCACAACCATCTGGGCATTAGAAGAGAAATTGCGTAGAAACTTTCATGCAGTAACAAAAAGTTTCTCAGGAAAATGGCATTACAAACATTTGTTCATTTAATCAGAGGAAGACCTTGGCGAATATTTTTTCCCACCTGAAATGACTTGCCCTGTAAATTGTGTTGGTTTGAAATATCAGTAAAAAGGTTATTTGGCAAACTGTTGTGTTGGCCATTGCTGATGTTAAGATCAAGGTACTCAGATGATTCAGCCAATGTGTGTGTTTCAAAAGAAAACCTTACTGGAGGGTTTAAAGCATAACATAGATAAGTCACCAAATATTACCAAATATATTTATGATATTGCATCATCCGGCAGAATTTATGTATTATTTGGCAAGAAATATAATTGATGTAGATGGAGTACCAAGACCATGGGAAAAAGAGAAAGTAATTCAGTATGATTTCCTATTATGAGAAATAGAATAAATTGTAGTTTATGGACTGATTTTAATTTTCCATTTTGGTAACTAAAATGCAATCACAATAGCAACTATATTGGGAAATTTTCGATATCTTTTTCTTTCATCCATGTAGCCTTTTCTTTCTTTTATCAAAATAGAAACTTGAAACCCTATGATTAACATAAACATTAGTAACTACAAGTTACGAAACAGACAGTTTGCTGAATGGAAATAGCCAGGTCCCAAATTGCCAAGGTCAATTATTTTCCTTGTCAACATTGTTTAATATATTGTTATGACCAACTGAATATTGAGAAAGTCTTCTGCCTAAAATAAGTAATGAAAATCTCTGTTGAAGGGTTAGTTAATATATGGAGATGCATTTCGTTATTTTTATTTAGAAAAGGATCTTGGAAGCAGACAATGAAAACTAGTTTTTGTATTTTGTGTGAACACAATCTAACAGAAGATAATAAGTATGGGAAGATTATGTAAGGAAGCCATATCTTGATTTTTTGAATGTAGATCTCAGTGCACTATTTCTATATAGTAACCTAATTTATGTAATATAAAAAATATTAAAACATAGCTGATAAAAAATAAATGTAAAACTTCAAGGAAAATTTTTAGGGTGTGCCTGCTTAGAATCTTATAAAATAGTTCACTTGAAATGTGAATTAAATGAGAATGCTGTAACGATTATGGCACTACTTATATAATCTGTGTCTTCCTAAAATTTTAGCACGTATTTGAGTGAGAAAACATAGACTGCACAACAAGACATTCTATGATGCTTTTGTCATCAAATGACTTTGGTTTTATAAAGCTTAAATGAAACAAAATGTGCACAATTGCTTACTTTATAAGAGAGAAATTTGTAAGAATATTAAAGATATTTTGTACAATCTTAGATTTAAGCTTTGGTTTGATCTGATATTTATATTTTTCTTTGCCGTGCGTATTTTTATTGTGAATATTGTGGGTGTATCACTAAGTTAATAGCCTACTGTATTTACCCAAGTATAAAATTACCCTCTATGTTTTTGCAACTACAAATCAGTCTATGAGGAATTTATCATCATCTTCATCTTGTTATTGATATTAAAAACATTCTGATATTTTTGAAACAGATGCATTAATACAATTTTTTAATAATATATTTTGCTTAATGCTTTGGCCCTTATTACCTTATTAGGTTTGACTCTTACTAGGGTCGAAGGCCTCAATAAGGTATGAAGTGTTAAACAAAATAAAGTATTGAAAAATTGCATTAATGTGTCTCTTGAAAAAGTCAGAATATTTGTACCATTGAAATTAATTCTCCAAAATTTACATGAGTACATAAAAACCCATTTTTACAACTGATGTTTCCTAGGGTCTTAAAACTTGCTTTTTAGGGCCTTTGGTTGTCATGAGTTATGTTCCTCATGACGTATTCCAGAAAATGAGGTATTTTGATATCTTCTATCACATTTTTGGGAGTTTGACTCTCAATAGGCAAACAGAATCTCATGCTGTAGTAAAAGTACATTTTTCTTTGTGTGCAAAAATTAGATGAAGAAAACTAAAAAAAAAAATATAAAATTTGGGTAAATACGTAATTACTGTGAGAGATTATTTAATGTCATTTTCTACAAAAAAAGTTATTTAATAATAAGTAATAAGTAATTTAATGGATTCACTTTTCCTTTTTGTCATTCTTATACAAGTTTCATTATAATTTATTTGATACATTTTTATTGCACAACAGATTGGAAAATATAATTCTGTCAATTTTGGCATCTCATTGAAATGCTAAAACAATCTTTTAGATTCACAAGCATTTAATTCACAATGAACAATTTTCAATAGTTTCGATATGAAAAGATGACATTGGCACTTGGATGAATCACTTATGATGGCCCCATGAAATATTTTGTAAACAGTTGAAAATTTTAGTGAAAGAAACTGTTTAAACTACATTTTTAATGTCAGAGATGAAAATGAATGCTGGTATGTGTATTAAGCCTTTCATATTATATTTGACAATCTAATACACATTTACATTAAATCATCCTGTCCTTATTTTGCATCTTCCAAGTGCATGACATGCAAAAATTCAGTATTGTTTAACAAAAAACTAATGTTGGTTAATTTTTCAGAACTACCCTTTTAGAGCGATTTCGAGATACAGTTTATTCTTATCTAAAGTTTTCCATTTTGTACAGTAGATATATCTATTTATTACATTATTCTCCCACATCATAAAATGTGTTGTAAAAAGAATATTTTATTTCCATTTTCCTCTTTGGAGACCCTGTTTTCCTTAACATTAGGCTCAAGTTTTGTATGCATGTAAGAAAAATTGTTCCAGATAAAAGTTACCAACATTTTGGAAATAGTTGAAAGACTGCACTCTTATATTCAATACTTGATTTTTTTGTTTCTGTTTCTTTCAGGTAGTAGTAAATAGATAATCTGAAAAAGTAGGTAATTCTAGTGTCAATCTTCAGTGATTCACTCAGTTTTTTGTCAAAGAAAAATCTTCACATGAAGTTTATTGCATAATTTAAAAAATAATGTTGTGTTTTTCTAAGAAGTACATATTTGGAAAACCAATCTAATTGAAGATACTGAAATAAATATTTTCAATTCTTATGTTGAATTATTTATCACGTATATGTCTCTACAAAGAAATTCAAGTATTTTAATTTTACTACTTCAAATAGATTTGATACCAAATGTATACTTCTTACTATATATAATTTATTCGTTTTGTATGTAACAATTGACATAATGTTCATCACAAAAGGAATTTCTGATATATCTTATTTGAAACTTGAAGTAGTATGAAGCCTATGTGAAAGATGTGAAATTTTAATGAAGTAAACAAAAGTAATGTGAAGTAAATAGTTTTTATCAGTAGTAAGAATTAAGCTTTGATTTTTAATTTTTTGGAGGTGGTAATAAGTTATTAAAATTTACAATTTAATTTTATGAATTAAAAACATTGTATGACTTATGTGAATGATTGTTATTGATTTTTGTGATGTTTAAGCCTCTATTTCTATATAGGGAAATTATTGTTAATTCTTTCCTTATCTGTTTCTGTTGCTATTTTTGTTGAAAAGAAACTTTGCTATAACAAGCAGTATGGCAATCTACATTCCTCTGATTGTACTTTTGTATTCATGTTGAGAAAAGAAGTGAGCTTGCAGGGAAAAGTAAGGCATCAAGCAGTAAAATTTGTAAAACAGAATAATGTGTGATATTTTGAATTATTTCAAAAATTTAAGAAAGAAATTAAAATCCTGCAATCACCTGTGAACTACCAGAAAACTTACTGCCCTGCCTTCCACTTTGATTTGAAATGAATTAAAGATTAAACAATATTTGTAAAGCTTTGGCACCAAAAAGTTTTAATCTCTTGTAATTCACCTTTATTGTTTTTCTTTTTTTACTATATTTTTTATGTGTCAATGGTAATAACTTGCATAGATGATTTACAACAGCTGTCTATTGGGAGATGTTTTATATGTAATTTGGCTATCAAAAGCCTAATTAAAATATTGTTCTTTTGTTTAGGTAGTAAGAGAAGTGTACAATTTTTATTACCATGTAATACTCATCAATAGTCATGTCAAAATACCAAAGAAACATGGACTGAATATTTTGTTTTATATCACTAATTGACATTATTGAATAAAAGCACTAGTGAGTTAGCTACTGTGTTTGAAATTTCACCTTGCATTTCCTACTACAAGGTCTAATATTTAATTTCTTGCATTTTTTTGTTCTGTATGATCTCTAATGATAAGTAGTAATTGTATTAACAATAAGAAAAATGATTTTTATATCCTAAACATCTTTTACTTGAAATTATGTATTTAAATAACAAGAAATTATGAAATCACGATACAGCTAGTGGTGCTAAAACAGCATGTACTTCCTTGCCTTTAGTAAAGGTTATGTAACACTGCTTTTACCACAACTACTCTCCAAATTATCACATCTCAGACATAATTTTTTGTAAAACTTATATGAAATTGTAGAACATTTGGTGCAAAAATTAAATAGTTTCAAGCAATAGATTTTTTATTCATAACTTTAAATAAAAATATATTTCTGGCATTGAATTCATTGTATAAGGTATGCAGTGTATTCATGAACATATCCAATGACTTCTTTAGCCTCTCAATATTTTGCATTCGCACTATATGAGAAAGTAGAATCATTTAAAGTTAATAAATAATACGATACTGATAGTGTTGGCAAACAAAGAGATAGATAGAAAAATATATAATAGTAATTATTAATCACTATAGTATTGTAATATTTTTCAAATATGCGTGTTTTAACATGAAATACACATTACTCCTCGTCTGAACATGCAATGCTACATACTCAATATGTTTTCAAAATTTCCTCAAATTGTCTTTACTAATGCTACTGCATTCAGAATTCAACATGTAAATGGGTTAGAGTAGAAATACCAGAATTTTCGACAAAGTTAACAGAATACATTTCTCCCCATAATACCTCTCATTTGGTTTTTCTGTTTTGACGTTATATAGTTTAATAAATGGAAATAGAATTTCCTATTTCATTATCTTATATTGTGGTTGTTCAACAATGAACTTCTGAAATACACATTGCTGCATTGTTTCCCAAGGCAGCGTATGTAGTAATATAAAATTAAAATGTTCATAAAAGTCTAAGTCTACTGGATATTTTCAATTTTTCTCTCATGAAAAGTTTTAAAAATCATGCTAATACAGTTGACTCCAGTTATAAGGAACTTGGATATAGTGAACTTAAGTCCCCTTACATTACAAATAAGCATAAGATAAATAGGTTGGTGAACCTCAACCTCAGCTGTAGTGAACATAGAAAATAAATCCTGGAAATTAATTGGGTGTCATATGTTATTAGGCAATTAAAAGGGCTTTTGGAGAGTACGATGGTGTTCCAAAAGACCAGAGACATTGGAAGGTGTCAAGACTGCATTATGGTACTTGGAGACAGAAAACAATGCAGAAACAAGTATGGAGAAAACTTGAACTCTGGTAAAGAATCTAGAGAAATTATTAATGAAAAATATCTGAAGCAAACAATTGAAAGTCATTGATTGAAATTTTCAGTTCGTGCTGATAATGAACTTTCCTGTATATCTAGATCAATAATTGTGGAGAAATTCTATTTAATTTTGAACGCATCAGATATAGTTAACCGAACATGTTAGTCCCCAGAAGTTCACTATAACAAGAGTCAACTGTATAATCCAAACCCAACCAATTCAAAGGAAGCGCTTGTGATGGGTACCTGTGTTTATTTTGATAGCCAGGGACAGTAGTCATTTCTAACTTTCAGAAACTTGACATAATCAGTGATCTAAATATCTTGAAGTCAAGAAGTGGTTTGTTCTAATTTAAATTTATTACATTTCAGCAATCTACTTTCTTTTATAAGAATAGTAGTAGCTATCAAACACCTCTCAAATTATGTTTACAAAGATCAGGAAATTCAAAGCGGGGAACTTTGTAGTCAAATTACACCAAAAAGACATATTTTCAAAAAAATTCAACATGGCCCAATTTGAAGATGTTTTTTATGAACACTTTTCATTAAGAAAACTAATGGCGCTACACGGTTTTTCTCGCGATATTACTAATAGGTAAGTAATATCATTATAAGACAATTTATCTCGCCCACTTCCATTAACATTTGAAAATTTATTATACAAACGATGCGTGAAAAATACTTATATATTTTTCAATTTCAAGAGTTTAAATGGAAACATTTCTGCCATTGAATTCGGTGTATCCATGTTCTACATAAACGATGCAATATGCGTATTTTAGTGGTAAAAAACATTATTAGTTTATATAAACGCGAACGAACTGCGGCCGTCATTATCGCCTTCTGTTATCATTGAAACCTTTCAACAATATGTTGCAACAGACAACAATGCCCGCCAATTTGTATGGGATAGATTTTGCACATTAGCATGGTTGAAACCCTTTTCAAGAAGATGAAAATGGATAAAAAATTTAAAAATTAAATATAATACTGTAATATTCATCAAAACTACTCGGTTTTTACGCGAATTTCCATATCATATTATGCAAAGCGAAATCATTATTCGTTTTCACATTTAAGTCAAATAAAGATCACAATTTAAAAAAATGTTTTAAAAAAAATATAAAATATTAATTTGTAAACGTATAACAAAATTTTGAATGAAAGAAATGAAGAAATATAAAATAGTCGTAATATACAAATTTACGAAGCATCATGCTGGAATTATTATGTAGACGAAGCGCAGTCAATTGGGAGCGCGCTATTATGTTTGTCACGAAATTACATCAACAACAACAACAACAACAACAACAACAAAAATCATAGTTTCAAGAAATTCACCATGACCGTTTTTAAGATCTGTTTTTCCTTTCGCGCTCTTAAGAAGAAGTGTTGTAATGCTGCGCTAATATATGTGTTAAAAAAACAGATCTTCAAATAAGTTAATGTTCAATTTTTTTTTGAAAATAATATTTTTGTGTAATTTCGAGACAAATATAATAGCCCGTTCGAATTGACTGTGCTTCGTCTTCGGCGTCTTCTTATAAATACAATTGTAAAATACATTTTTTTCCTTAACGAAATGTGTTTATCAAAAATAGATATTCAAATAAAGTCTTGTTCAATTTTTTAAAAATACGAGTAATTTTTTTTTTTAAATTTGCGACAAAATTAAGTGCCCTGTGCTCTGTGAACGATTCCACACAGTTGGATACATCGTAAGTGCGAATTTGTATATTATTTAATATATAATTGTTCGTTTCTTACATTTAACCTTTTGTTATACATTTACACATTAATCTTTCAAAAATTATTTAAAACCTATTTGAAGTATATGAAATTAAAATTGCTAGCTTTCATGAAATATCAACAATGCAGGGAATGCAACAACGCGCTTGCAAATTCCTGTGAATTACGTCTCATTGGTGTTATAATTGTCAAATTTCAATCAATTCAATGTCAATAAGTTATAATTGTCAAATTTGTGTTGATATTTGCTTGAAAATATTTATTTTTCGCTCCAAATGCTCTACTATTTGTCATAAGTCCCAGAACTTCATACACTAAAAAATTAAGATTATGCATGCACTTAAAATAGCCAATATACGCGCACAAAAACACAGAATATGCTTTAAACAAAATATAGTGAGCAACAGATAAGATTCATTTATATAAATCTTTATTTTACACTAGTACAAAACGCGTACAATAAAAATATATTTTCAAACATTATAATAAACAAAAAAGTTATTAAGCAACGAAAATGTTTTAATTCAGCCCACCTTTACGCAAAAACCTGGAATACGAATGCTCTTAAATATGCCACACGAATAAAAATATGCAGTTAATGAAAAAATCCCAGAAACATGCATTTGTGCAGAATAAAAATGGGCTACTTTTGTTTTATTTTTGGTGGTAGGTAGAGTTATAAACGTTTCCTTTCGATGTGCAATCAATAAAAATATGCAACTCCATGAAGTTCTGCGTTCTAGAAATGAGTAAGTGGTGCTATATTGACACTACTTGTGAGAGTATGCACTTCCGTTTGTGATGAATTTCGCAGCAGTTTTTTATAAATTACTTTTCAGAATTATCGGTGAGATATGGTATACGTTATTTAATATCATCTAATCCCTAAAAATATTACTACGTATTGAATAAAAGAAAAGGGTACATTAACCGTATAACTTCTTCAGTAACTTAAAGAAAACTATGCCCGCGAGAGTCTTTCCATAGAATCTGTACTAATTTTAACTTTTTTATTAAAGAATTAGGCCGGTAAGAGCCAAATTATTTTTACCGACTTCAAGAACAGAGATTTCACTTTCATTTAAAGTACTTTTGGGGGGTACTTCACCGTGGTCGATCTAACGAGCATATTACCTGAAAAGTTTTTTCTTGCGCTTCGAGGCGGTGTCAAAAAAGGGCGGTAAAAATTAACTTACTATTACAAATTGTAGAATATTGTGTAATTTAATTAGTGCATTAATATTAAAATTATTTATCAACTGTGTGTGATGTATTACGAATAAACGATAAAACAGTTGTTGTAATCTGAATATAGATTGAAATAAGCGTTTTTGCAAATAATTTGTTGTTATTCGCCTAGCGAATGCACATAGTTTTGACAACGCTGCGCTGGCAACTGTACGCTGCTCTCTTCTGTATAATTTGCTGTGAATACTGTCAGTAAAATATATTCCTGTTTGTTTCATTTGTCAAAGTAAGAAATGATTGCTGCTCCTGACTATCGAAATGAATGCAGGTATGCATCACAGGCTCTTTGTTTGAATTGGATGTTTTCAAGTAAAATCTGAGGTAACACAGAAAATCCAATATTTTAATATTATATAGATGTTTTCAACAACAGGAGAAATTATGTGCTAATGTAGCACCACTAGTTTGGGAGCACATTTAATTAAGGAAAAAATCTTATAAGGAATTTCTTTACAATTGTAGTTCTCGGAAGACGCAGATTTTTTTTCGCAAAATCAGGCATTTCAACGAACATGATACTTGCGCCATCCTCTTGAGCGTTATGATTTTTAATGTTCCAATTTAATTATAAAAACAATTGGGCATTTTTTAAGAAAAAATGGTTTAGAGAAAATAAAAATTGCCTATGCTTGACACAAAATTTTGCGAAATATACTTGTGTCTAAAAAATAGAACATGAGCTTATTTGAAGACCTTTCTTTGATGAAAAAATTTCATTAAGAAAAAATGTATCTTCATAATTGTGGTTGTGGGAAGCCACCGAATAAATTTTTATTTTTTTCAATTTTCGAGAAATCAGGATTTTTAACCTATATGAGACCTGCGCCATTCTCATAAACGTCTTTCAGACTATCCAATAGCAAAAATTAATCAAAATCGATGGTGCCATTTTTTTTGGACATTTTGTAAATGTCCCAAGAGCTTCATGTAAAGTCTCCCCCAAAAAATTAAAATATCGGTTTCAAATTCAAGGAACCGTGACATCAGGCAGATTGATCAGGGAACATCAAATTTGGAGAAAATCGGCTGAACGGTTCAGCTGCTAGCGTTGTTCATATACAGACGGACAAACATTTTGTCGTCAATCGATTTTTCGGTATCAAAGGTCCACAAAACATGGATTCTGGCTACACCGAGTGTTACGAGAATATTCCATTTCCCTACATTTCGCAACTGGATTTATCCACATTTTCTTTACCAGAGCTCTGTAAGAAGAGTTTCTCAGCCCAAAATTCGCGTTTTTTCGCACCTTATTACATGTTCTCTTCTTAAGAAGGAACTTCTTAAACGTGAGAAAGTAAAATTGGAGTTACGAGCAACTATTAATGCGCAATCGCTGCATTCATGAAGCCCGGTAAATTCAGGCGTAGCCTTCTGTACCATTCCACACTTTTGCAAACCTTGACTGCAAAATTCGAATAGATGCTTTCATAGTTGGCAGTCCTGTCCCGGAACGACGCGGACAATGTGATTACAAGGCTGTGAAAACAAAATGGAGGTTGTGATCGAGGCGAGAGGGTTAGATGCTGATTCTCGACGAAGTACGGTGTGACAACATGTTTAGTTTCGATGGTGTCATAGTTAAGTTAATTTCAAGTGCAAGTATATAATTCATTATCGCTACTGTTGCGTGTGATTGCAATGCACGATACTTGTCATAAACAATGGCTGACGAGCAACAACAACAAACACGAGTTCTTCTGTTAAATGGCCAGACAATCATACTGCAGGGTGATGCTACCGACAATGCAATCAACGAAATTAATGCCGATTTACTCCAGCAAGCTCTGCAGGAAGCGACAGGTAGTACAGATGCTGTGGAGGAGCCACCGCGCAATGAAGAGTATCAGCAGCCCCCTCCCGCGGCGGAGAACGCTACCCCGACCAACGCGGCGGAAAACAATTTGGTGGCAATATTTCACGGAGACCAAGGCGAAACGCACACAATTCAGTTAACAGTGGAACAAGCGGAAGCGTTGGGATTACATTTTATGTCCGATGACTCCGAAAAGGTGACTATTCCGCCGGACATTTCGCAAAATGTTTCCACGCCTCAGATGGCTATCTCCAACGATCAGAACCAATTAGTATATTCTGATAATACCAGCCAGCCTGATGAGACGAAGACCATGTTTGATCCCTGTATTACTTCAGAATCTAACATTGCCAACATCCAAGACAGCACTAGTTTACAAGGAGATACCAACTCTACATCTCTTCATCAAAACATTGGGGGTCTATCAGCTTTATCTGAAGTGGGTTCATATGTGGGCGATTCAAATAATATTACGCTTATTCCTCAGTTTGTTAATGGTCAGATGACATACACTGTCAAGTTGAACGAGCAACCATCAAACACACTTCAAAACCAAGATTTTGCCGTTATGGATACCGAAGATCATGAGCCTGAACCTGTGATTGAGTCCAAACCCAAGCTTCCACTTCTTGCCCCAGCGTTACCTACCAACTCTCTAACAAGCAATTCTTCGCCTGTTGCCACATCTGTCTCCAGTATTCGCGTTAACAACATCCCTTCTATGATAAATTCACTTACACCTATAGCACCAGCTCTTGCTCAAACATCTACCACTTCTACCACCTATGCTGCACCCAAATCATTGCTGTCACCTTTGACAAACATTACTCCCATAGACAAATCCACTAAAGCTACTTACGTTGTTGTGCCGAGTTCTTGCACAACAGTTTCTGCATCTTCTGCTGCTGTCACTCACACTTCTTCTGGACTTCCTTTAGCCATTAAAGGCTCGACTTTGTTGCGCCCTAGAACAGTGATTCCTGCTTCTGCATCATTACAATCCACCAAAACCACTACCGCTGTAGTTTCTGGATCAATTCCATCCTCATTGCACACACCAAGTACAACAGCAACCCTGACTGGAATTCCATTGATGAATTCTAATATCAATATAACACGAACATCTGCAGCAGGTAGTAGTTTGCTGCAATCTGTGTCAACATCTTTGACTGGAGGGGGGATGATTCGTGTGGTTGCTGGAGGATCCACTACACGGATGGTGCAAGCACCAACTACAAATGGACCAAAATTCACTAATATTCTTACTCCCAGTGGTAGGTTGGTGGCAGCAACTACTGCTCAGCCAACAACACAAAAAATTATTCCTGTCAACTCTACAGCTGGTGTTGCAAAAACTTCTGTCACAACTACTGCAGTGTCAACTACTGTAACAACTGAACCTTTGCAGAGTAGTGCAGTTAGTGCTGTGCAATCTGCAGCTGCTCGTTTAAATATCAACTCTACCAAGCCCCTGGGATCCAGTGAAAATCCCATTCAACTTGTTCAGCATGGACAGACATTTCACAGGTATTTAAAAGAAATTTTGTTGTAATATTTATTAATACAGGGATCTGAAGAAAATGGTTTCGACTAAATTTGCACTTGATGGAATAGTAATTCTCATGACTTGGTGTAATTTTGTGTATGAAAAAATTTGGCGAATGTAAAATGTGGATATGGTGAATGTAAGATCTTGAAATACCGTTGAACAAAATGCAATTCATGCAGCCAAAAATTGTACAAATGTTGTACAAATTGGCAAATGGCACTTGATGCAGTAGTAATTCTCAGCCGATGCTTTTTTGAAAATGCTTTGGTGATGATTGTAATGTATAAATCCCAATATTTTCTTATAGTGTTACAAAAGAACAAATATTTGTATCCATATTTATTTTTGTTGTTTCGTGCGATTTAATGAAAACAATGGGTGGCTAAAATTTAGTATATGGTACAACCTAAGGAAGTTGTTTAAACCGGCACTTTGTGCCGCTCCGGCTGTGGGTTTTAATTTGCTTTACTGTTACTAAAAGAAAACTTGTGTTGTTGTAACGCAGTCCACTCCATTCTGGCACTTGTTTCCCTGAATTTTGCAACCAATAATGGTTTTGTGAAGTAGAGTTCACGTATAACAAGACACAAGAAGAATGTTGCCTACGTTTAAATGCCTTTTGCATCTGTGTTAAATGAAATGTTCCACGACAATTCTGAGGAGACCTGAAGAAGAATAAATTATTTTTATAACATGGTTGATTGCAATAAATGGATGAAAGAAAACAATGTGCTTTGAAAGTTAGTTATTTGACAACTTACCAGGTTATTGTAAGGATTTAAATGTTGTGCCTTATAACAATCTCCAGCTGTAGTTATCCAATTGGATGTTTCAATTCCAATTGCAACTCAATTTTTCATCCATAAAGCATAGTCTTCAGAAATTGCTGTGAAAGTAAGAATATAAATTGCTTGTTTACTAATTCAATTACATACATAGAAATGATATAGTTATGTGGAAAATTACTTAATTTTATGTGAACTTAAAATCAAAGTTGTCAGAGTATGTGTTCACTACCCATTACTAATTTATTCTGGACACATCAGAACGCCATTCCTTCTTACAGAAATAAAGCCCTGGATATCACAATATATACTATACAGCAATTTTTTCAACTCTGTCCCTGGCAAGTATCAGTTGTTCACAGTTTCATCCAATCGGGAACTTGAACGTCAGCATAATGACGTCACTAAGGGGATGTTGAAGCTACTAATTGGATGAAAACATCAACAGCTGATACCTGCTAGGGGCAGAATTGGAAAAAATCGCAGGATGATTCGTGAAACGTGTAAAGGTGTGAGAGTTCTAATTAAATCTTTTGGATCTGTTGCAGTGTTCAAGCCCTTAGCCAAGAACAGTTACGCCAGATAGCCACTGTGCTGCAGCAGCAGCACTTGGACTCTGCTCCACGGACAAAGAATGTCTTGTATGATGCCGAAACCAACACTAGAATCATATACAGGTATTACTTGATAATATTGAAGCCAGCCTCTCGCTAACTTCACAATTTTTTAAAATTTGGCTGGCCAATAGAGTTGAATGAAGTAGAATTGTTATGAAATTGTGACATGGAAAGATCAACAAAATCGACTTTTGAAAGAGGGAGGAGTTGGCTGCTGGCCCCCAATGTCTCTTAACACTGTTGAATTAAGGTGGTTTTAAACCATAAAAGGATTGGTGATAGCAGGCTATCCTTGAGCTTTCAAGAAGTGGTGCTGTGACAGTTATTGTTGTGAATGTGAGAGTATTATTATGTATGTTTGAATGAAAAAGTTAAGAGTTAAACTTGTGTGAACTAAAATGTCAGTGAAATGGAAAGATTACTATCAGTGCTGCAAAGTGTGTGTGGGTGGGGGTTGCAATGTGGCAATGTATGAGGAAGTATTTTGGGGCAGCATAAAAATTGTGGAGTATAGAGAAAGGGATAAAAGTTTGAACTACATTTCAGAAAACAAAATATAAAATTTGATTGTAGATTTATGGAAGCTTAAAATTAAGAGTGAGAAAGCACAATTCACTTTAAGCCAGAAAAGTAATAATATAAAATAATAAACGAGTTGAAATGAAATATATAATTAGTTTTGTTGAAAATTAAATATACCACCACTTTCATTGTCGAAAATTATTGAATTATGGTTCAATAGTGATCTAAAGTGATGCAGCACATTCCTTTTTTTATGTGCATACAGTATATACAAAGAAGTGTGCTAAGCATGGAAAAATGCTTATTATGTAAGACTGTGTAAAATAAATTCTGAAATTTCAACAGAAATGCATATTTTAGGGGTCCCATGACACTGGAAAGGTGTGTGCGTGTGTATGTGGGCCGGTTTCATAATGTGAAATTCCCTTACAAAGATGGCATAGGTCTGGTTTTTTATTGTAATGCCTGAATTTTCTATACTCTCCGTCATATAACTACATAACTGTATGTAGATATTTTTTCTACTAATGATTTTTACTATCTAAAATTATTTCTTTCATTATTGTTATGAACATTCTTTTGAAAATATAACTATTTTTTCCTTTTTTTGAGTTAAATACAGCCGATATTAAAAAAATAAATAATTCAAATTCAGCCCCAATTTTTTTCATAAACTTTTTGTAAGGATAGTGGTAATAAATGCACTGAATAACATGACGTACATATCATTTTATTGTGGTTTGTTAAAAATTAAGCAAATGCATTTTTTTTGATATCTTAATACATTTCTAGAATTTTTTATACGTTATTACTAGGTCTCTGACTTTTAGGTGTTAAAAAAACTGGAAAATCTTTCTTTTTGTGCATAAAAAAGTGAAAAATATGCTTTATAACCATGAGAATATTTATTACTTGAGCTTGGACTTTTAGGTGCTAAGAACTGGAAAATATTTATTTATTACCTGTATGAAAACCAATAACCAGGATTGTGAGCAGTCTCAATGTCAAACGTGGCATTTTCCTCTTTATCACTTTTCACATCTGTGCAATCAGGAAATTGAGTTATAAGTGTATGTCATTGCCTGAGCCGACAGTAGTGTTAGAAATGACCCTCAGATGTTTTGACAGGTAGTGAACCAAACTCACTCCACTCAAGCCGGGAAAGTCCCACAGTGATGTGTGACTACCCATTGCTTTCCAATCTGGCAGGTCTTTCACTGTATATCAAAAATTTAAAGTATTAAACTTAAAAATGGTCAAAATATTCATTTATTCATATAAAATTGAGCAAAATATTAATAATATTTGTTTCTAGAAAAATATTTATTTTTATGTCCTTTCATCAAATATTTACGTTTACGTGATATTTAGGTTCCATGTGAAAGGAAACTGGGGTGCTACTTGAATAATCACTTCACGGTCAACCCTCAAGAATGAAGGGAAAAATGTATACTTACGTAAAAGTTCAAGCGCTAATTGTTACTTTTGTGAAAACAAATTATTCTAATTATTTCTGATTAAGCTTCTCAAAAATTCAAATTTTTCTTGGAAAATGAATCCGAAATTACGCATTTTTAGAAATGCTGTTTTTAGAAATGCTCGTAAAAGAGGCTGAAAAATTGAGAAAATAAGAAAGAAATAAGAATCTTTTAGGCGCCAGTCTGTTATTGTTTGAAAGAGGGAGGAGGCAATACAGAAACACTAGCCCAGGTTAAAGAGTTATGCGAACGAACTAGTAAGAGAAAGTCTGTACCATTCTGTTGCGCCACAAGTTAAGTGATTAAAGAAAGGATTTGTTGTATTATTTTGAAATGTTAATGCAAAGCCTGAACTCTGATATATTGTACAATTTCAATGCAAAATAACTAAGAAAAAATTGAATTGGAGAAATTACTACAAAGTTATTCAGTATATGGCAAGAATAATAGAAACCATAAGAAAAAGGTTTTTTGGTTTTGTTCAGAATTATAAGGTTATGAGAGGAATTGAAATATTATTCAGTGTGATATCAAATGTACTCAAGAAAGAAAACAAAAGGACTATTATAAAAACAAAGATGATGCTAAAAGAAATGCAATTTTGGTTGGATGGAGCAGGAACACAATGTCTCCAGATATTGAATTTAGTGCTTTAAATAGTGTTATAAGATTGTGTATCATGTAGATTACATAATAAATTCATTTCTTGCAAGTTAACCTTTCTATAGAAAGTTGGCACAATTTGCCACAAGCACAATTGCACTTAGCTATTAGCACAATTTGATAGTTGAAGTGTACTCTATCAACTGTCACACTCTTAATGAAAGCTTCATTAAACTCACTAAGCAAGCAGGCAGGGAATATCAGGAAATTTGTAATTTCCTGGAAAAGTCATAGAATAATAGGATATTTTATTTTCCTGTTCTTTTTATATAAAACTGATCATTTTCTATTTTCTTCCTCATGTGACCAGATAAATGCGATTACCTTATGTATTAGTTTTTGCGTTAAAATAATTTAGATAAAAAAGAATAGTGAATCTTGCGTGTATAATAAAGGAAGAATAATTGAGAATTTATACAATATTTATTTTCTACAAATTTTTCATCCATCCTGATCAAACCTTATTGAAAGGTCCCTAGCAAGGAAGCCAAAAATTTAAATGTTTGATTACCAGTCTTTTTTTCCTCTTAATTTTTAACGGCACATTTTGTTATCTCTAGGGTTGTGTATCCTGAAGACCTTGATCTCCGGGAGCCATCCTCCCCGTCAGAGAAGCACACGAGTAGTGTTCTGGCTAGTAGCGGGCGTGGTCGGGGACGGAGGGGTCGGCCTCCGAAATCTGCCCTTCGGCCTGTCGGGCGGACCGGTCCTGTGCACGAATCTTCTCTTGGCGCAGGGAGGAAACCTAGTGGACAGGCAGTGGATCTCGACTTGGATGAGGACCGTCTGGTGGATGATGCTGCCAAAGTGAGTTTTTGTGTTGTCTTCAGAATTCCAATTCAGTGTTGGAAAGTTGTAAAATGAAAAATGAAATTTTAAGTTGAGGTTGAAGTTTTCTGTTAAGTTGAGGTTTTCTTATCACATAAAAAATATATATATATAAAAAAAAAATTAAAAAAAAAAAAAAACGTTTTATTTTGTTATTAACTTAAATATTTTTACAAAGCCTAGTACATACAAGGTATATAATTCCTCATATTTTGTTTGGTCAACTTTCCATGACCCCCAATAGCACATTGAGCTATTCAGTCTTTCCAGAAAATACTGTTTAGAAAGCAATTCTTCCAAATCTTCCTTTATTAAGAATTTTCTTTGTCACCTCTGTGTACAAAAATCAAATTTATGGGCAATGTATGGGGCGAAAAAAGACCCTATTTTCAAATCATCTTGGTAGAAAAGTGGTAAAATTAATTATGGGTAAACAAGGAGACGCTGGAGTTGGATGACTTAATGTTTTGAACCATCTTAAATATTAAAGATGTTTAGTAAATGTTGTAGTTCTTTGTTCCAAGGTACAAGCCAGTGTGCTGAGCCTTCACCAGAGGGGAAAAAATTACATTGAAAGCTACTATTTGAAAATTATGTAGACTAAATATTTTCAGTTTTGGAATTTATAGTTATAACAAATAATAGAAAAGTAATAAAAGATTAAATGTTTTGCACTAAATAGTGAGATCTCTTGGAATTTTAATGAGAAAGATTTAAAGACATCATTAATAAGAAACAAATAACAATGATCAAAAAAGATGATGGTGAAACAAAATCAACTAAGAAAGAACTGAAAACTGGCTACAAAAACTAGCATATATAGAATGATGTATGGGCTTTGAACCTTTTAATAGTATTTTGTCATAGATTGCAGTGAAAGATATGCATTACTTGCTTCCCCAACAATAGGTAGAATCCTGGATCCTGCTGAGAATTGGTGCATAACAATTTAATACTAACAGAAATACTTCTTTTTGAATTTGATTATCAGTTTATCAAAGTATCTTTGTCGCCAGGTTGAACGCAAGAAGCAGGTTGCACGCACAAGATCTGGTCGTTTGTCCAGGCCACCCCGACACATGGTGAAAGACTATAAGAGACTGCATCATCTGGACTTTGCGGATGCCGACCTGGACGACTCTGATGGAGGATACAGCGACTACCAGATGAGCGATCGAGAAGTGGAAGAGCAGGATGCCTTGGCAAAGTCTAATGCAATACCACCAAATACTCAGGGAACACCAATACCGACAAACCAGGATACAACAGCGACAGCAGCAGTAGCCGCATCATCATCATCAGCAGCAGCCGCAGCAACATCAACAGCAACAACAGCAAATCCAGCAACCACAACCACTACTCTTTTGCCTGGGCTCCAAGTCTCAAAGAGGAAGATCTCATCTCACTTTCGGTGTCCCACATGTCAGAAAGTGTATTTAGGACATTCACGTATGGCTCGGCATTTCGATATGTTTCCAGATCATGGAAGCATTGATCAGATGAAGACCAATACATCTGCAGGTAGTTGGTCAAAAGAAGCACACCTTATATTTAATCTTTTATATCTTTACTTGCTAAAGAGGAGTTTAAATACCTTAGTGGTTAGAATGCTTGATTACCCTCTTGTGGTGTTTAAATTTAGTCATGAAATTTGAGATTAGCCCTTACGATAATAATCAAGTCAGTACTCAGGTTCTCCTATCAGGAATTTTATTTTATCTGAAAGTGTCATGTGATTTTCATGAAATTGCATTTTTGAGAGATAACTTGATATTTTGATATTTGTTGCTTTTTTACTCTGTCTGAAAGAGCATTTAAACAAGAAAAATCCCAAGTTGTTGGTGTGAATATTGCTATACTTGTGTGAACTTCAAAAATACTGGTTTCAAAAACCTTTATGCATTTTTTGACAATGTAGCTACACGATTGTAAGAAACGAATTGTGAAAATCTTTAGACTTTCAATTAACGACTGTTAACTGAGGATGTGGCTCTGGTGTTTGTTTATTTGGCAACCACTTTGAGAAAACAGAAATCTCACTATCTGATTGTTTGACCTTATTTGACTCGAGTTTGCCCTGAGACATTTAAAACATAGACTTGTGATGAGATTCAGAGGATGTTTCTGTGAGATCAAAAGACAGAAGGCAGGCTTATGAAGATAAGCACAGCAGCTACCAAAACAAAACAAAAGGAAAATATTTGCAACTAAGCCCAACATTTAAGTATTGTATTACTCACATTCATTTTCATAATACTTTACTGTTATATTGACTTAACGTCACCAAAGAAACAAAGTCACTTTTAATGTAAGACAGAGAGACTCACTAAATTTAAGAAAGAAAAACCCAGGAAAGATTCAGGTCACTGTAGGGCATGCCATAAAGCCAATGACTACAATAATTTAATTTTTACTTCTTGTGAATCTACCAAGATTTTTAATGAAAGCAATTACATTTAGATGGTATCATTTTATATTCATCATTATGATTTGGGAAAAAGATTCCTCATAATGACCCCATGATGAAACCAAAACATATTCATCTTCGTAGCTCTTTGAAGGTGATGGATATTTGTGTTATCATTATATTGCATGAAGAAATGCTAAATAATACTTCAAATTTGTGAATTTTCTAATACATCTCAACTGATTTGAGTTGAGTATTGTCATACATTATTTAATTTGTATGTAACCAATGTTTTGTTACTGATGAGTTTCCGTTTTGGGCTCTCAGTTTTTAGTGTTACACCAATGAGTACAAGTCTTTACCATAATCTGCTTTATGTAAAAGAGTGGATTCCTTGTTTATTGGTAAATATAGTAATTCTTTAATATATATTACAGCACCATCATCTCCAGTTCCTTTACCTGATTCAACTCAAGGTCGACAAGTGGGAATTGGATCCACATTAAATGGAATTGTTCGACCAAGTGGTGGCAGAAGAAGAGGGAAACGAAGAGGTCCATGGGCTTATACAACTCCAGAAGCAAGATCTGAACGTAGGAAGGTCAAACTTCGTGAGGTGAGCATTTTCCAAAGTTTGTGTCGCTTTCTCCATTTCATTCTTGTCATCCTTAATGATCACTCTAGTAATACAGTATACTCTTGTTTGTTTGGACTTTGGTTGTACGACATCTGGAAGATATGGACACTCGGTAGAAAAAGAGTTGAAAGCGTAAAAACATACTTTTGTGTTATAAAATTGTATAGTAATTTATTTTATTGATTACATGCATCTTTAACCCCCTTTTAACATGCAACCATGCAGGTTTGTTAAGTGCATTAGTACCTATCTGTACGTTAAGAAATTTAACATCCTTAGCAACGTAAATAAACAACCATTGATTCATTGCGAGTCATGTTTCCTAAAAAAACAGGGTGATGTACAAAATTCTGAATAAAAGTAACTCATATTAGTTTTTGATGTAATTATTGTTAATTGTAAAATTAATGATCCAATTAAAAATGGTGAATTAGGTAAATTAATCTCATTTTCCTGGCATTCCACCAAATAAAACTCTTATCTGGTAATCATATTTACTGACGATCTGAAGGTGTCATCTCTGGAAGTCAACACGTGTATTTTCTCACCAAACCATTTCTTTAGGTATCTTTAGGTTCAGAATTCTTTACATCCATCTTCTCGAACCATGGTATACGAATATTGTTTAAATAGATATATCACAAGCAACACCTTTATGTCAAAATTTTCACATAAATCATGAGATTTTATGGTCTTGATTACAATGCTGAACATGCCACGAAAATGTTAGTGTTATTACTGCTCCACCTTTTTTTAACTTTTGGCCTCTGCTGTAATAACACTCATATTTCTCGGTATGTTAATAGCTATTAATAATTATTACAGCAAGTATATTATATTGATCTATAAATTACTTTTTATTCTTATACAATTGTTAGTCTAAAATTTGCTCATATTATGCTCAGAATTGTCTACTTAATTTGAGTGTATGGTATGAAATTATCATGGTATGACAGGGTTCAGTCCTGTAAAGCCCATACAAGTAAGAGATTATTGTACATTCTTTTTGCTGTTTGTTTTGCTTTTGTACTTTGTCTCCATTGCAAAATATGGTTGGGGCTCTTTAAATGCATTTCTAGATTGTGAAAAAAAGAAGAGAATATTTTTCTTTCTACTTCTGTATTTTTTCACTGAGCTTACTGCCCCTGATGGATCTTTGTAACATTGTTTTCTAAGAAATTTTGAAGATTCATACATCTTATTCCCCTTCTGATTAATTGTTGGTTCCTTTCATTTGTGAAATAAAACACATTTGTAATATAATGGAGTGTTGAGTTCTTTGCCTGGTGCATAACGTTTCTTGATTTTTGAGAACATAATCTTCAGTGTAACTTCCTTTTTAAAAGATGTAATCATTTGGTCAGCAAAACATTATGAGGTTAAATGCTTGACATGAAAGAGAGATAAATGAAAATTGAGTTTCTGTTTGAAATATTATTATTATTTTTGTATTTTGATCTCCTTGTAGGATACAGTTGTATTCGCTTACTCATTGGCATAATTCTTTTAAGACAACTACTTGTGTTAGCAGTAGGGATGAGTTAACTTGCACAGAGCCTACAAATTCACTACTTACCTAACCAAAATGTTGGAAAATATATATTACGAAGAGTTAATATTTTCTGTACAATACCTACATTGTCTAATATTTTCTCAACAATAAAACTAAAGAGTAACTAGTAGCTGAGAATGAAACATAAAGTTGAAAAGAAATATAGAGCACACTTACATTATAACATGCCATTAAGGATTCTCTGTACATTGAGAACAGTCACCGATATATTGTGAGTAGACACATTGCAAGGTGTATGACATCTGCTCTACTTGCAGAAACAACACTGCAATTGAAGATTTTTTTCTGAAAATGAGAAAAATGTTTACTTAAGAGGTGATACCCGGTATGTAATTCTGATAAGTGTTAGTTACCACTACAGTTCATACTCCATGAGAACTTACACTTCTTCTGCAAAAGCCTATGTAGAAATATATAGAGAAATCCATAGATATTGGTTATTACCACCACATCCTGCAACAGACTCGCAGGCTCTGTGAATAGGGTGTGTGCAGTGTTGCTGTGCATCTGCTGCTCAGATACTTCTGTGAAGTATGCAGAGCCCCCTAAAAATGTGTAAAACTTTTACATGCAAATTACTATACATATGTGAATGAAAAAAAGTAAAATTTTATTTCATACAGCTTTGTTAAATAATAAGAAAACCAATATCCGTGAACTCCGTCTCCAAGGAGTTATACAAAAGGGATATACAATTATCTCATACAATTACTGGCGTGATAAGAACAAACTAAAATTCAAGGGGTGCTGATTTCTAGAGAGTTCTTATTTATTGCAGGATTCATCTAAAAATAGGGACAATTGATTCTTGTTCTTGAGAAGAATCAAATGAGCAGTTGCTTACTTCTAGAAGTGCTTAGTGATTTCAAAACAGTTTTCAAATATTCTCTTAAAATATTCCAGAAGGGTCCAGGAAAAATTCTGTTCCACAACAGTCACTTCAAATGACTCCTCACTTTCCCCGAAAATTGGGCTTTGAAAAGACCATAACAAATGAAAACTAGAAGTTACAGGAGTCCAGTCACATGTGTGATAACACATTACATTGTGGGAAGCACTGATTCACAAAGTATTTATGCACTGAATAAACAAAAAAGAAAGTGTTTAATGAAGTGGCAGTGAAGAAAATTGCTGTGTACCATATTGATGGTATATGAAAGTTCTTGATTGATAACATACAAAATATTTTTCAACAGATGATGTTGGCAAGAATGTATGCAATGGAAAATAACTAATAAAACACAGAAATAAAACAAAAAGTTCAGAAATGATTAAAAGTGTCTTTTTCAAAAAAGAAACAACCAATTATTGTCTTGAGAATTAAAAAGTTTCCACCAGCTTCAAATAGAATTGCCAGATGGCCAGTCCAACCCTGAACTTCATTAATTTTTGGTCATAGAATTTCTTAGAAATGATTCTATTGCTTATGACCTTTTTTAAACTAGCGTGTTTGTGGAGGAGCAGACATGAGTATTTGATGTCTCCAGTTGGAAAATATATGCCTTTCGATTACTCTTTGTGGGAAGAAATAGTTAATTCTATCATGGAAGGTCTGCACTTGTCTTGCAGAGGTCATAAAATCATTTAATACAATGTTGAATGTACAATTTTTCTCTTTAAAAATATTTAAAATTTTGGAAGAATGTTTGTAACATATTCAACTAAATACCAATTACTACTGAAGTCAAGATAGACAGAAACTAATTCATGTGAGTAACGTATTGCTGAAACAAGTTTCAAAATAGGGGAAATAATTGATATTAACTGAGAAGTGCTTCAGACAGTAATTTTTAGCTCTTGACTGTTCAAACAATGTTGCATCATAGGTTGGTTAGCTAAAGTTTCTAGCATCTTGTCTTGGTAGTATTAGGTTTGAAACGCCTAATGGGCATTTCAGCCTCGAAGAAGACCATAACAGGATGAATGTGTATCATTGACTAACCAACATATGATGATGTGTTTCCTGAACAGATGAGAGCTAAAACCTTTTTGCGAGGTTGATATCACTGCCTGCCATGCGAATTGTCATCGGGCAGAACTTTTTGTTTCTACTTGTGCGTCTGCTTGTTTTAAGGGGAGATTGGGATCACAGCCTTCCTTTGCTGTTCTTGATCCTCTGCAACTAGCCTCTTCTGCCTCTTCCTGCAAGAGCTCCCCTCCCTTGCCTGTTTTCCTGCTCCCGACACATAGAAGGGGAGGAAGAGAACCGTACGAGAGAAAGTGAGAACTTAGATGGTAATAGTATTTTCACAAGCTATAAAAGGAATAAGCAGATTGAATGTTAAGAGATTTACTACAAGCACATTTTTTTCCTCTTTTAACATCAAGCATTATTTAATCAAAATCATAAGTACAAGGTAAACTTGCTTCTAGATGCAGTGAACATTTTTTAATATTTGAATTTCCATTTTAAAAAAATATTTTTTTCTTTCTTTTTTTCCACTGGTATTCAGTGACTGACTAATAACAACTTACAAAAATTATGTAAATTAAATTTCGATACTTCACTTATTACATAATATTTTTCCCAAAGAGTTAGGACAATCTGAAAATAAATATATTTTCTCCTTTTTCTTCAACTTGCAAAGATATGTGTATTATGGGTATTTTGAAAAAATTCAACTCTTAAAATTCACACATCTAATTTTTGCTAGGAAGCCAACAATTTTTTCTTATCATCTGCACATTGTATACATAACACATGATTTAGTCTGTGATTGCAAACTCCAAAATGACTAATAGAATTTTTTTTCTGAATCACATTTCTGACTTCATTGGCTTTGATTTGTGGCTCTGAGTTTGTGTGGTATCTTAATTTTACAGTTAGTAGATTTGCTTTCAGTTCATACATATGTAGGGGGATAACTTCTTCGAACCTGTGTGTTTTATAAAGCTAAATGTTCCAGATTTCAATTACCATTAATCTTTAGATGTTTGCACATCAATAAAGCCACCCTTTTGTTGCTAATACACTAAGTTTTCAATGATCTTCAAATTGTGTGTATTCTAATTATAATTGCCTCAGTATTATTTGAACACACAAACTTGCAAAGATATGTGTGTTTGCTTAACAGGAAAAAAAAATATTAAAAATATTTCTGTAAGATCCTCCTTAAACATGTACCAGGATCTTACAGATCTTCCATTTACAAGGTACATCAGGCCTGGTAAAAATGGCTCTGAGGTCTAATAAAGTCCATTTGACATACCCGAGACAAGAGGATCTGAAGATTCTAAATACAAAAATTGAACTAATTTCTGGTCTATTCTTGTTCTTAGTTTTTGGCATTCCATTCTTATTTTGTGGAATCTTGATGAAAGGTGCATTCATTGATAAACTGCTAACAACTTTAACAAATTAAGCTTTCTTGATTTCACAGCTTCACATACAATTTCTTTTGTAACATTACTGTGGCCATTTTTATCAGCAATCATTTCTACTGCTAAGAAGCTGAAAATGTGCCTCTTCTTGGAGCATTAAAAAAGAGGGGAAGGGAAATAAAAAGTGAAGTAAATATTAATTGAATTGCCTATAATATGCTTTCTTTCTTCACTTTCTCCTCTCACCTTTCTTAGAACGTTTTAGTTGTACTTGAATCAGATCATAAGTGATCATAAATCAGGAGTGCTCTTATGAGCTTATATCCCAAATGCACCTCACTAACAAGATTATCCTTCCTTAGGGACTCTTCATTCCTAATTGCTGGGCTTCAAATAGGCCAATGTGAGCCCTTATTAAGGAGATCTTATGCTGCCCATTTTATTCTTCCTGTGTCCAAGTTTTTCACTGCTTAAGAATGGGCAGCCTCTCTTGAATCGGGTGTTCTGGAAAAAGTAGATAATTTTGGATATATGCTCCTAGAAATACATTTGCCTTGCTTGTACTCATGTCCTCCTTAAGCGTATTGGTAGATTTCAGGTACATTCTGTTGGAAACCTTTATTTTGCTCATAACAGCAAGTCTCATTCAAGATTTGACCTTTGGCCTCTGCAGTTAGTATATACTATCCTTGTGTCTGTGTAATATAAATCTTGTTAATTTTGTCACTAATAATTAAAACTCTGAAATCTCAAAAAAAATGAGTCGCCTCCGTACCTAAAATAAGTGTGTCAATTTCTTCTGTCCAAGTGTTGTCATCAAGTTACAGATCAACTGCAACCTCTTTTTAATTGACAAACTCTCCTTCCATCAGGCATTGGCCACTTGCGAAGCTGCGGAACTATCTGAAGTGGCCGGGCCAGCTGTCGCCGGAGTTATGTCATTGTGGGAACTGTTGCTGCTTCGCGTGGAGTCTGTGCGCACAGAGGAGAGCCTCATGGCCACACTGTGCGAGGAGTTACGGGCTCTGCTTGAAAAGGTGCAGTCTGTGGCTGGGGAGGTGTTGCAACCTGCGCAGTCTGAAGAAATTTCCACCAAGGAGGAGCAATTAGAGGTGAGTGGCACAAGGAAGAGCTTCACAAATCGAATTAAAATAAAATGGATGCTAACAGATTAATTTTTTTTGGATTTATGCCAAATTTACAATGAAATGCTATAATGTTAATTTTATTGTACTATTGTAACTGCTTATGAACTAATGTGGTAATATTGGTTTGAAACTAGTTCTAAAACTATCTTACATTCATGAATTCACACGTTTTTATTTCCGTGCAAAGAAAGTGATAAAGAATAAATCAAGAGGCACTCTTAGTTAAATCAGTTTAATTTCTATTGCTTAGAACTTCATAAGTGATTGGTGGTGTGATTTTTTAGCTGACATTAAAATTGTACAGGGAGTCGTGTTGAGTTTATGTTTTCAATTAATTAATGTTATTAAAGTTGTTTCTATTTTAAAAATTGGGTAACAGTACATATTGTGATGTTTATCATATTATTTCATATTTATGAAATTGATTTAAAATTCATCTACCAGTTTCTAGAGCAATAATTCAACCTAATATGTCTGACATTCACTTATATTATAATACAACTTCAAATAATTATTGTCAGTAGTAAAATTGTATGATTGACAATTTTGTTTATGAATATGTCTACCATACCATCTGCTTGTATTGCTCTGCGTGTCAAAGCTTAGTCCTCGCCAAACAATTTTCAATTTCAACAATTTGTGATTTCAAAAAAATATCTCATTTTCGCCAAAGTATATGTCCAGCAAAACAATGATTGTCAATTATTACTGAAAGGGAGGATGTAATAAAAAGGTTGCTATCAAACGATTAGGAACAGTACAGTACAAATTATTTGATTTATTCTGAGAACTGAGATGTAAGAAATTAGAGGTTTTCAGAGAGTAACAGTCATTTTAAAAGCCTGAGTGACGAAATCTGATGTTGTCTTTTTAAGGACGTACCCTTGATGAAACAAATGGCATATGAGATTTCCCTTTTCTATTTTGGAAACTATGTGCACTAATGCTACAGGCCAAAAACACTCGTAAAGGAACTCATCACTTTTGTAACAATGTTAGAAGATCCCATCCTCCTGTTAAGTTTTCAGTGTGCAGCTTGCACTCAGAGTTCCACATGAAACTCTAGGTAGAAGAGTTACAAATGGCAAAGCAGAAACTCAAAAAAGAAACTGTTAAGACATGTAGGACCTGAAAAAATTACTTGTAATTTAAAATATTGTTTAGAGGGAGAAACAAAGCCATCTTTTCATTCATGCTTTTCAAAATTGTTAATACATTGCACCTTTCAGTTGCAGGATGAAATCCTTTGCAATGCCTTGGGATTACCATGTGGCAAGTACCAAATAGTAGATGACCATCTCCTTACTAGAAGAGCCCAGTCAGGATTTGATATGAAGGTTGAACCGCCTTTAAAACGGCTGAAATGTGATGAGAGTGACGTAAAAGATGAACCTAAGCTGGAGGAGATAAAACCATCTTGCCCGGAGGTTCTGTCTGCTCTTGCCTTGGAATCTAGGCCCACTACAGTGTCAAGTTTAATTTCGAATCCAGTTCCTCCTTCAGTGTCTTCTACTATAGCTTCCACCGAAGCATCTAATTCCCATCCTTCATCCCCAGCCAGATCCTCTGTGGACAGTGAACCTACAAAAACATCGCAGGACAATACACCCCAGAGTCAAGATGAAAATATGAAAGAAGTGGACTCTGTAGAAACAAAACCAGTTAGTGACCAGGAAGATGAACATCCGTTCTTGCTTCCTACAACTAGTGATATGTGTGTGGATGAACTAACTCATGAGGCTGTTGGAGGGGAGGGAGAATCACATGGAACAGAGACAGTTGATGATATTGTCAACGAAAGACTCAAGAACCTCACTGGCTTCACCGTGAGTGGGCCAGAAGGTGAAACTGTTCAATCTGTTCCCCAGGAAGTTGTGCAGTTCCAGGACCCACACACTTCTAATGACACAGAAGTGCCAACCTTCGACCCTGAAATGGCATTGGCAGCCATGGGTGAAGGGGAGCAACCTGATTCAGGGACGGCGCTGTCAGAATTCACCCCAGAAATTGCACTGGCAGCAATGGGAGAAGGTGACGCAGAGCCCCCAGACACTGGGACTAGACACAGCCCTTTTGCTTCCTCTGTTCAGGATGTTTTTGATCCCATTAAGTCAATGCAGGACACTGTGTCGTTGCCCAACAACTCTGTCCCTCGAAATGAAGAATCTGACCAACCCAAAATGAACAGTCCTGCCAGTGCCAGGGAAGTGTTTTCAGACTTGGGGTTAAGTAATATGGACACTCCCCAGTCAACAAATTCTGCTGAATCCAAAGAAGAAATTGTAGCATTTACCACATCTATACTGACAAACAATTCTGAAAACACTTTCATCACATCACTGGCAGAGAGTAGTAGTATAAGTAAGTGCGAGGGGCCCAGTGATTCATCGGTAACTAACTTCGACCCAGAAATCGCGCTTGCTGCAATGGGAGAGGGTGATCCGACAGGAGGCAACTCTGAGAGTACCTTTGATCCAGAAATGGCCCTTGCGTCAATGGGAGAAGGGGTGCCAAGTGTCCCGAGTGGTCAAGAGTTCCCACAGGCAAGTGATGCGTCTGGAAACGAACCCGCGTTCCAGTTGACTGCGATGGATGTCAGTTTAGACGAATCTGGCCCAGAGTTGGACTTTGATGCACTTAGTGCTGAATTTACTCGATCGACTCGGCACAGCTAGCAAACAAGTTAGTGCTAGGTTTTCGGCAGTCACTGCTGTGTATAATTCTGTGAAAGAACAGTCAATATTATTTCCTTTAGGTTTTTCATGTGATGTTAAAGTTTGTATTATAAAATAACTATATATAAATATATATATACATATGCAAGTTATAGAGATAGGGATGTGTGAATGTTACATTCAAAGACTGATGTAGCCAGAACATAACTGAAAAAATTGTTTATGACTTAATTTTTGTAGATCACTGTACCATAGTTGAATGGAATTTTGAAAAACAAAGTATGCAAACATTCCTCAGAAGTTGAAGAGACACTTTGTTTTAATTAAAAAATAATGGTACAATAAGACAAAAATTATAGCTTATCGGACAATAATGAATTTTGATTTGTTTTGATTTTATGTCTTCTGGCAACATCAGTATCAATGCATTGTACTGATTTGAATGAATGTGAGGGTAGGAAGATGTGGGTACTGCATTCTCTCTCTCTCTCTCTCTCTCCCTCCATGTTCCTGAATCTAAGGAGTGTGGAATCAGGAGACATTAACTACCTGATTAGATCCACACAAGTGAGACTTGTATTTCTGTGTGTTGTTCACTGCTCTATGATATTTACAGTTCTTTGAGAAAGATAAATTTAATGTCTAATTTGTGTGAGCCACAATATTGTCAAATTTGTGTTGTTGAATGCGAGAGAGTCTTATTTCATCCTTGTAACTTCTAAATGTGCTACAGAGAATACACCAAGATCTGTCTTACTGGTCAGAACGCTATAAGTTTATTGTCATAGGTTGTTGGATTTTAAACAACCTGCCTTGTGTGTTGTGAACTTTTTCTCTTTCTTCTTTTTTGTTGTTGAAAATATGCTGTAAGATGTTTTCCTGTTTGCATCTTTTTAGTAGTTTCATGAACGAAGAGAAGCAATATGGAATTTAAGAAACGTATATGTATAAATTTATTCATCTAAATATTGAGACTAGTTCCAATCATTGTAACCATGTTTCTAAAAAGAAACCAGAATTTAAAAAAAAAAAAAAAAAATTAAATTCTGAACAAAGCTGTGATATGCATTCCTACAAACTTATGAAAAAGATCCTAATGCTTGCCTCAACTGCAGTCAGCATTGTACATATTTGTTGCCTGACAAGTTTATCCAGATTGAACTCTGTATCAGGCAAATCATTACAATAACATATTTTATGATTTACAAAAAATAAATCTAGTATCTGCAAACTATATAGGAAGTCAAATTTTCTGTAAATTTACAGATTTTGTTCCCAAAAATTCCATGATGTTCTCATGATAAACTTTTATTGCTGGACATGTCATAGCATGATTAACTAGCAATATGGTATATAAAATTGTAAAAAAGAATCCTCCGATATATGCAAGAAATAAAGGAAGACTTATTTTCTGTAGAAGTGCAGATTATGTTGCAAAAAATAGATTCATGATAATGTTCACATTTTTTTATTGTTAGACATGCCAAAGCATGTCTACTTAGCAATAAATGGTCCATCAAGTGATGTCTAGTCAGTTTTTGATGCTTAACTCAAACAGACCAGTCTTTCGTGAATTAACAGAATACTCTTTCTCCAGCGAGAGTATCAAACTCTACTCTAATTTGAAGGATATAGATTTGTTACAGAACTGTTTTAGCTCATAGAACTGGATTGGACATTTTATTTTTATTTCTTTAATTTCTTTGCCATTTCTTTCTACACGTGGCGTTTCTGAACAATTGTAAGACAGACTTTTTTGAACATGTTTCTGAGAATCTAATGTAAAGATTTGGTAATACTATTGCAGAAGGTTTATTATATATTTTTTTTGCAGTCTTTTCATATAAAATGATACAAAAACAGCTTGTATATAGCTTATATGTATTTATTACAGTGTATATACACAATGAGTTACCGCATTCCTGCATTGAAACAATTCAATAAACTTTTGATTTCAATGTTTGTCTCATTCCTGCAAACAGTAATTACTAATTACATTGCGGTGATATCTGTTGAAGTTGTGTGTTCTAATAATGTCAATTCCACAAAACTTAAGTGTCCTGCAAATCTTTCCTTGGTCTCATTTCAGACCTTGAAATTCACACCTCTTCCCACAGCTCACTGATACATTCAAAGGCTGATGTGAATTTCTTGAACAGAATAACGACGGAAAATAAAATATTCAGCAAAATCATGTCACAAAAGTGGCTACAATTTTGTAGTGGATAAGATGTTAAATGAATGGATTAACCAGTATAAGCCAGCTTGAACTTTCAATGACCTTTTCCTCCCTCTTGAAGGCGAAAATGATTTGAAATCATTTTGTAAGTGAAGTCCACAATCTCTAAATTCCCAATGTTTTTAAATAACGAAAATGTACAAATTGAATTCATAATTTTTATTTCCTGACATTTTCAAATTTACAATGGTTTGATTATTGTGAAAATACCTTATTGCACAATTAGCTTTAACTGGCATTGATAACACAATTTATTGGCTGAAAAAACACATACATGGAAGCATGGAACTCTTTATCTCTGGGGTTAGATTTGACTATGCGCTTTAACAAATAGTTCACTTGAATTTCATGCACGGATGCTATTTGGTATTATAAATTAAGAAAATGATGCCATTTATTTGCTTCATTTACTATATCGTTCTAAAATATAAAGATCATATATTCAGAAAAAACATTTAGCATATTCTTATAACTGCATAGGTGTCTACCATATGATAATGTCCGATACGGAGCTACTAACTCGTTATAGACAAATACACAAAAATAGAAATGAGACAGACTTTTAGAATTTTTCTCATAATTTAGACTTGTAACCTGGAATCTATTTGGGAGCATTTCTGAGCCCAACCGTACAAAAATAAAATTATTTCAAATCAAGAAAACTTAAAAGTTTTCAACACACACAAAACTGCACATAAATAGCGCATCTAAAAGGATATGTTCAAGTGAATACTTTTCAGAGCGTTTAAAACATTATTTGCACCTGGGGTCAGAAAAGACCCCAGAGCCTAAGGGTTATATTATATTTGGATGATATTACATGGTGGCCACATTCTGCAGAAAGAATATCAATTTTGGAGGAGAATAAACAAGGGAATGTTTAGAATTTTGGAAGATCCGTTAGAAGTTGGGGAAATGTTTTAAGTTATTCTTCAAACAACATTAATTCGTAGTTATTTTTGACACACTTTTTTTGTAAGACAAATGTTAATGCTGTCATTTTCACTGATAAATAGGGGAACAGACATATAGATAACTTATCCTTAAAGAGGCACTCATACTCTCTCAATGCATTAGTGCAAAAGAATTAAGATATTACTCCGAAAAGGGCTTGGCCAATAACACCATTTTAATATCTACCTGTCTTACTTTTATATACACAAAAGATGTCTGGCAATTAGGGAAAAATTAGTGAAATTTGTCTCACGGGAAAATGGTGGCCACCCTCATTCAATAAACATCAGGTCTTGTCCACGATATCTATTATTTCACTTCAACAGTCTGGAAACTTCTAAGCCTCATCAAAATCTTCACAATACAAAACTGTAAGTACTACTCTATTCCCAGAAGGCAGAAAATATGCACAAACCAAATAATTCTATTGAGATTTCAAGTAACAGGCAATTCCTCATGTTATGTTGGAATGCCTAAAAAGTATTCTAAGGCAGAACTCTGATGTAATATTTTGTTATTTTTTTTCCATTTATTTTGTATAAAATTTATTTCCATGCATCTCAACAATAAGATCTAAATAAATTCCTAATTGATTCCAATAATATTAATTGCTCCCCTAGTAATACTGATTGTTTGCATGATTGAAATTCATCTACTGCATGATTGAGGTAGATAATCCTGACATAATTTGCAATTTAGAAAAATTTTGTAAAACACAAATATAAGATAATCGAATGAATGCTAGTTTAAAAATATGTGAAATTTGATAATTGCGCTAATCTCTAATAATCCCAAACTTTAAAAATCAGAGATACACTAAACTCGCTACCCTAATTTCAGACAAAAAATAATAATAATAAATAAATAAATTAAAGTTTGTAAGTATTTATTCTATGATGAACTAAACATTTATACTAATTATTAAACAAAGAGCTCAATGTACTACTTCAGTCAAGCTGAGGACTGTCAAACTCCTCCCAGAATAGTTTCCTGTTAGTAAAACTAGTGGTTAAGCAATTTTCAAAAATTCTGAGTTTTTAATGTAATCAGGCTTAAAGATGTATTTTTAAAAAACATATTTCATTAAGATAATAGTCTATCTTCAATATTGTACTTGTGGGAAGAAGCCAGAAGAAACTTGAATCTTTTGCCTAATTTAAAAAAATTCAGACCTGTGCCTTTTTTATAAGTGTACATTGCTTTATTTAAGAAAAAAAAAATCAAGAAAATCCTGTAGAGGCTTCATGTAAAGTATTCCCAAAAATTAAAATATCAAATAAAAGGGGCTGCAACTTTAGTGCTGTTCACAGGCAGACATTTTGCCGTAAACCAATTTTTCAGTAACACAGACCTAAAGAAATAATTTTCTCCATATCGGAGCACAAATTATCCATTTTTTGTTATCAGGAACCCACAGTACAAGCTTTTTCAGCCACAAAATCTTAGTTTTTCACTGCAGCATTACAGAACTTTCATACACATAGAATAAGTAACAACATATGCAAGAAAGTAAACAAAGATTTTAATTTTTTTACTAATTACATAATTCTTCAATTGGATATTGAAAACAACCAACACTTCATAAAAAAATTCTATATGAAAATCCTGTTTATAAACACCTTTTTAAGAAAATAATTTTTTTCCCTTTAGATATTTTGCTGATAATTTTAGCTATTGTTCTGTAAAGTTTCACTCACTTCTCAGAGCAGAAAAATCCCTTCGATGGAAACACTTAAACATTACACTGTTTCACCTATCTGTGTCCGGTTTCTTGCAACAAACTTTCCATTGCTAGGTCCATTCGTGGAGTGATGTATGGCTGATGTGCCCAGGCAGCAGCATGCAGCATCAAAGTAGCTTTGGACCGGGTGTGGGCAATGTTTTGTTGAACACACAATTTCACTTTCAGCTCCTCTTCGTATGCTTCTGATACTTCCAGTAACACTTCACCTAAAATGCATCCACACATTCATGTATCATAGCATTCTGTAATCACCACACCACAATTTGGAACAGCATCAATCAAAGCAGATATAATATATTCTGGGATTCATTTCCGTTTTCTGAACTTTTTTTGCTTTTGAATATTCGTAATGCAAATATCCAAAGGAAAACAATATTTTTAAAAGTGTCAAATAACTATAGAATGCTCACGGAAATCAGCATACATTGATTAAAAATGAAAAATATAACGTGTTTTGGAATTTCAATGGTGCATTTGCTGGCAACAGATATATAAATATTCTTTTATTTTTACCTATACCAGTCTATCAAAATTAGAATAATTTTAATGTGTGTGTGTATATAAATATATATTTATATATATTTATTTATTTACATCAAAATTAATTATTACAAATAGTTAATTAAACAAACTGTAGATTGTAAAGGGTAAATTAATAAACACCCATTTTTTGAAGTGCAAACAGAAAATGACCAAGGAGAATAAAGTCATAACCATTCAGAGGGAGAGAGATTAACCAATGAATTGAATAAACTCTCCTGCATATCCGCCTTTGCTGCTTAGAGAAATACCTCCTCGAAGCAAAAACATTTTTAATCTGAGCTGAATGACAGTTTATGTTGTAAGAGGTGCCTGACAAACTAATTATTCTCAGCAAAAACTCGTTCAACTGACAGAATTCATTTAACAATCACTACATGCAAGTTTAAATAAATTAATAAATGCCTTCTTTCTAACCCCCCTAAAGTTAGCTTCCTTTCCAAAAAATTATTTACAGCCCCTCTCCCTCCATTTCTTTTCTGTAAGATAGGGGCAATATACTTTCATTAGTAACAGAAATCATTCAATACTGACATCTCGTAAATAATTATCAATTTAGGAACAAAAGAAACAAAAACTGTTAAGGAATCAGTAAAATCAGTGCATGTTTTCTTTTGCTCCAGAATATCTCCCCACCCTTACACTACATATAGCTGAATAATAAATAGAAGACGGTCAAATAAAGTGTGGTTAGCAACATTAGAAATCTAGACATTTTTGCTTCTGTGTATTTAATAAACTTAATAACCTCATGATATTTCACAATCAATCCGTTACGCATTTTATCACTCTCCTACTTTGTGGCAATTTTCTCTCAAATAAGAATGTTCCTTTCTCATATAGCAAAACAAAGTATTGAAGATGAAGAGAAAACCGATTGGCTACGCTTTGTTAGAATATCTGTCATGCTGATATCCACAATTTAAAAGAATATTTTTCACTCATTTCAAGCATCAACATACTTGAAATTTGTTTCTGTCTGTGATTTAAATAAACATTATTCATAAATAGTGCCTTTAATTACTATATTCGACTTATTATTTGACATCAACAATAACAATAATAATAACAATAACAACAACAACAATAATAATAATAATAATGATAATAACGATAATATAATTATTCAAGTTTATACGAAATTTCAATAAAATCCCAACAGCATATTTTATGTAATAGTTGATCTAATCCGTAAAAGTTTATTATAATCCAAACCATCCAAGAAATGATCTGTAAAATAAGGTCAAATTTAATATTTTACATACATTATTCCTCTGTCTTCTTTAAAAATGAGTAATAGTAAATTTTCTGAATTTTATTTCCATCAGATTGTGACTTAGGCCTACTAATGTTCTTTATCAAGTAATAAACACTCATTCCAAAAAACTATATTGAACAATTAATTACGAGATTATCATTGGAATTGCTTTAAATGAGCAAAAATTATTTCAATATCCCAACTGAAACAAAAAATTACTTACTATCAAAAAAGATTACTAACTCTTGCAGATATCCATTCTTTGACATATTATTACAAAGTATCATACAAACACACTCCAAACCTGTTTTACTTGTACAGTAGTATACCGGGTAATTAAGGTGCAAAGAACAAAAATCTGTAAGTGAAATAGGTATCCTAAACTTGTTTCTAAAATCTACAACACTGAAGGCAAAGCTATAGATCTAAACTTTACAGTAACTTCTATTTTCTTACCAAATTTTTCTGCAGGCCATGAAATAAACATTGGTGTTCGGTCTGTACCTTTCAATTTTTCAAGTTTAACAATTGCTTCCACCTGTTTATGAATCAGCTTCAGAGTACTGGATACTTCCTTCTAAAAAGAACAATGTTTACTACAAGTAGTCCTCAATCTGAATAGTAGTAAATAAATGAAAAATAATCTGTCTCACCATGATAGTGCATACTTCACCCAATTGATCACAATGTTCCTGAAGCCCTGTTGGATATACCTGACTGGTGTCCAAAGTCCCATCGCTCCTGTATAATAGAGTAGTATATAAGGTGCATTCTCACTTATTTCAGGAATTAATAAACCGACGAAATACTTGAGGATAGGATTTGTTTTAGAAAAGTATAGAAGTCTTACATAGTGGATGTCTTTAGTGTGACTATATTTTTTATTATTCTGCCACCCAAGATTTGATGTGTATTCCATTTCTGAATCAAGTTGTATGCATCGGCGGCATGATCCCTGATTACCCGTGGGTGGCCTGTAAGATTCCCTCTTTGGGCAGTTTTTGATACCGGACTTTCTTGTACTGGCAAAGTAAATTTAGGGAGTGTCACACATTTTTTTATGGTATTCATCGGGAAAATCATGCTTTGCCTCTCTAGAGTAGGCTACAGAGGAGTAACATTTTTTTGCTCACCTGTTACTGGAGAAAACTGCCCTGGTGATTTACTAACTTCACTTAAAGTACGCTGAGGTGTTGACGCCATAGTTCCTCCAATTAAAAAAAGACACAAAAACGTATATTGCATCAATAGTAATATGAGTAATATAACGTATGTTTTTTCGCTAAGTTCATCCTATGGGCCGCTTGCATGTTTCCCGTCTCTTGAAAACCACTTCAAGAAAAATAAATAATACTTTCAGATCAAAAATTCTAGTGTCAACTCGCAAATCCTTCAAATTTAAAAAAAGGATCTATAGTGCTATTTTGTAAAGGAACACGACGATTTGCCAACGATGGAAATACCAGGAAATACAATGGTACCACCAAGGCTTCAGCAGGTGTTCAGTTTGTCATAATTATATTTTATTGAATTATAAATTTTATTATTGAAAGTTGCGTGTTAAGTTGCATTAAAATATAACAAAGTTTAAGAATTATAACCGAGTTTAAGATATAACAATAACCTTTATCGTTAACATGTCACTGCAAAAGCAAAAATCATGAAATTCGTATGTGTTTAATGAATGAAAATTATTTGAAGGATTGCTAAGGATGTGGATGCATATTATTTTAAATACTTTTTTGTGAATTTTGAATAAGTGTAGCAGCCGTGTCTTCTATGCCATGAAAAATGTATTATTTCACGTTTTATTGTGATCATGACATGTTTGCTGTGCTACGACTTTCTCTGCATTAAACAGTGATTTTAAATTTATTTGACGTTCAATAAATAATTTTTTAAATAATTCTTGAACAAAATTAAACTATACATTTGCGATATATTTCAAATGTGCATTAGTCGGATTTATTTTTGGTAATGTAGAATCGTGTATAATAAGGATGCCCGTTTCGGTGTGATAATTTTAATTTGTTATTTCCGTGTGTAAATTTTCATCTTTCATTAGAAACCTGACACGATTTTATTCTCGAAAAAGAAGAGTATCATAGTTACAGTATAGTGTTGTATTAGGTACAGAGAATTGCACAAAAATTGATTTCAAACCTTCAATGCATTTCTCGTGTCATGAATCAAGTGCCCTTTCGTTTACTAAAAATTCGAGATATTTGTAGTTTTATCGTTTTATCTGAATGAATAATCACCACATGTACACTCTTTTAACAGGAACCAGACCTACTTTCCTAATTTTCATGATGATGATGATGACTATAAGTGTTTTACTGCACCCATTAATACATATTTGGTCTCCATTTATCTTACTCAAACACATTTAAGTACGTAGAATTTATTGAAAAACTTTGTCATTTAGTTGCAGAATTATTTTAATCCTTTGTTGAAAATTGAAAGGACGTTCTTTTGTAAGTGGTCCTTTCAATTGCACATGTATAGTTTTCACAAGAACATTGGATTAGATAAAGGTCAAACTTAATTTTACAGATTTTTCTCATAATTTTAATTTTATGCTCTTTCTCTGGTCAACAGTAACTTGCAGATATAATAATGATTTTATATAATATAATAATAATAGAGATTTCCCTAGCAGGCACCTCTTGAAAATTTTGGCCTCAGAGATTAGATAAATGAAAATATTGTTATATCCGATAACTTGTTGTGGGACACAAATGAAAAACTTTAAATATCTTTTCAATTATTTTTCCTTTTTTTAGAGTAATGTTGCTCTTTGGTGTAATAATCATAATTTATTTATGAGAAAGTGCACTTCTCGGTAGGCAAATATTTGGAGGGAATTTTTTCTCGCTATATTTATGTGATTTTATGGAAACTTGTGTTTCAGTTGCGTTCGGGTTTAATTAATCTAAATTTCAGGTTTTGTAGGAATTTACTATGTAATTCTACTGATCAGTGCTGGAGCTAGATAATTTTGAGTTCAGGGCAATGCTGAAATGTAGTTTCCCTTCCCCCCTAAAAGAAATTAAAAGTGTGAAAGTGTATCAAGAAACTATGAGTTATTTTATTTCAACAAATAACAAAAATTACAACATATAAGCCAGAAAAAGGTTTTGAAAATATATTTTGAATAGTTTTAAGTAAAAGAATTTAGTGATCAAATAATACAATTTCCACAGTGAGTTTAATATGTTAAAAAATTGGGTTGAGTTTCGTTAGTGTTTTATAACATCACTTGTTGGCACACGAAATGGTCAATTAGCACATTAAATTTAAAATTCAATTCTTGTATTAAATACAATATCATGGAAAACTAATTAATTTTATACATCGTAGTGTAGTGAAGACTTAAGTTAAAAAACAATTTAAAAAAAAAAAAAAAAAAAAAAACATTCTTCATAGATTTGTATCTAGGCTGGGGTCATCCTTTATATCCAACAACCAGTTTAGGGGGGTTTGAAAACGTGCAACAGAAAATGTCTACTACAGAAAATACTTAATGCCGGCATTGCTGCTACTGATAACAATAATAATATTTATTGAGTCACATATACAAATGTAATCCTGTATGACAAGTCAGATATGACGTGTGCAGGTGCACATGTCTTCCTGAGTTCCAGATTTCCTTACTACTACACATTATCATGAGTAAAGGTTAAAATTTAACATAAGACATGTACTCTTCTATATGAAAGAACTGTAAGCAACATTCAGTTTTGATTTTGAATACTTTGCTAACAAATAATTAACCCTCCACCCCTCTCATATCTAGCAAAAGAGAGCTTAAGAAGACTATGGCAGAGTGAAGTTACATTTACTGTTCAGAAATCAAAGCAAGGGGTTTGCTCAAAGGATCATGGGAAACTGGACAAGAATCCTGATCGAGTTAGTGTCATTGATCTTACATCTGAATTACAATGCTTGTTACTAACAATTATGTTACTAATTACGATTTTTAATGTAATGTTAATGTTAATTAGAATTTGGTACTGAGGCTTCGTGTAGTTCAAAAACGTAAGTTATTTTAATGTTTATTGCAATTGCTTTCATGCTTTTTTAATCATGTAATTTAGCAAGTAAACTATTTTATTATTACTGTAAGTTATTGAATTGAATTCCTGTTATAACTTAAATTAATTGTTGGTATTAATCAATTTTATATATTTTTCGTATAATTTATCAAGATAATGTAAACTTATTAAATTATTACTGTAAGTGAATGTTGTTAAATAATGTAACTAACTTAGTGTTATTTTAAATAATTTCTAGACGGACTTTACTTGATACTTTCTGTAAGTCTATAAACAATTAAATATTATTATGACGATAATAATATTAATTATAGTACTAAAAATGTTCACTAATAGTACTAATAGTATTCATTGAGTAATTATTTAATGGTATTATTGCTAACAATGCCTAATGTGTTTAGCAAATCCAGGGTGAGGGAATAGAATTTGGGTCAGGCATTCTTCTTCTACATAAGTCCCACTGCAATTTAACACAGGAAGGACAGGATATGCTAGTCCTTTTTTCTTTGCTTTGGCTCAAAACAGTCAACATGAAACAGAAAGTCAAACGCTATAAGAATTTTTAATTTATTTATATTTTGTTAATGTTATTGTTAATGTATTTATTTATATTTTTCAATTTACTTTTAAATTTTGTTAATGTCTTTAATATCGTGGCCCAGTTTGTTGTAAATTATAATGTTTTCTGTTAGGGTACTTATTTGATAAAATGTAGTTTCAGGGTGGGGAACGTATAGGTTATCCTTTTGACAAGTGTTGTAGTTGCGTACATCAGAATTTAGAGTACAAGTGTCTTTGTTTTCCATAAGAATCTTCTTTGTAAACACGATTATTTCAACTATATACATGCATGGTAGAGGAAGAATCCGTAGTTCATTGGACAAGGGTTTGCAAGACTCCAGCTTATGAGTGCTGGTCATTGTTCGCAATATTATTTTTTGGATAATAAATGTGTGAATGCTTTCAGGAGCATTTCCCCAGAATATTATTCCATTTTTTAGGTGTGAGCGCACATTTGCAAAATTTGCTCAAAGTGTCTCAATGGTAGAACTTGATCTGAGGGTGTTCAGGGCATAGCAAGATTTTTTTTTTTTTTTTTTTTACATTCAGGTAAAAATGGATATTTATGCATCCCAGAAATAACAAATCAATTATAATTTTCATTTTGTCTGAGCCCAGTGGTGGTAAAGTGGTGAAATGTTTTGGCCTTATCATTTCAGTTTTAGGGCTTCCTGTTACATATTTGGTGACAAGCGCAAGGTTAAAGAATTGTTGATATATTTTGATTCATATTATATAACTAATTATCAAATCATTGCTATCATGCTACAAGCTTCGAATAAGTATAGAGCAGAGATAAATATTAATGGATAAATATGCAGTGCATTATCAACAACAATGAACAATTTAGAAATATTTATTTTAAAACCTATCAACAAGAAATTGTTTGAAAAGGGAAATCAATTATCATTGTACTAATCCAATCAAAGCAGCACTGATATGTGCAATTGAGGACTAACACTGGGACCACTGATTTACTGAAAATAATTTTTTTCAATGAAAAGGAGGAAAAGATGCTTAGCATTCTTTCTTACATATATTCTATAATAATGCATTACATTGTTTAAATCCCAATTATTTCAAACTATCAGAACACAGAATTTACTGATCTTCACTGAACATGTCTCTTTTGAATTTTAGATCCTCATCCTCAACTGGCCAAACTTTTCATTCAATGGAAGTGTATATTAAGCTAAGATTGGTTCTTTTATAACTTAATTTGCAACTATTGGGAAACATGATGTAAATATTTGAAACAATGTTAATTAAATTTTTAGTATCTTGTAAAGTAAACATCAGAAATAGCAGCAAGACTCCGAACAGGCATAGTTAAAAGACTAGCTTGGACATTTGCTTATATTTCCAAATCTTGAACATGTGCCGGATCTCCAAGAAACAGAAATTAACTGGCTTCTCCAGTAGAAGTTTGTGTGATAAGATGCGTTATTCCTTACCTTATCTCTTCTCTTTGCCATTTTGTTTTGGAAGTGATATTTTCCAACTGGGTTTTGAGTCATGTTGACTCTTGCAGACCCGCTATGAGCATTGGTGTAACACAATGTAGATCCAGTTCCAAGTGATTGTTAAACCAACTAACTTAACATTCTAGAAGATGTTATATTTTAAACATACTTTTTGAGGAATTGAACTCTTTTCACAAAAATGCAAAAGGAATGATGTCTTTTGAGGACCCACTATATTAGTATTAATATAATAAAACTGATGTAAATGAAAAAGAAAATTGTATTTTGTAGTTGTATCTTGTAAAATATTTTTTTATGAGGACCGCAACATATTAAAAACTATTAGGTTAATATTTATTTCTTCAAACAAATATGCAGATTTTTTCATAAACCTGAATAGGAGACCAAGCAAGGTACAAGTCAGGACATATCTTATCTAGTCACTGATGTGTCTGCGGTACCCTCCAGTCAGGTAGCACACATCCAGCCAAACTCTCAGTGCTTTATTGCTGTTTTCTGTATGATTAAAGTTTATTTCACAATGAGTAAAAAAACAGTATGTCTGAAGAAAACAGGGTTTCTGGACAAATGGGAAATTAATACTGTTCCACCCAACAACTATTTCGAAAAGATTTTCATTAATGCTAGGCAGAGAAAGCTAGCAGAAGCTGAAGGTATGAAATTATTATTAGTGTGTTTATTTTGATTTGTTAATATTTTTTGAAGACCTAATAGTATTAATTTTTTTTTGTTAACTTAAAAATGCTAATATATTTATTATCCTTACTTAAATTAATTATTGAACTTTACATTAAAAAGTAGGTAATGATATTTTGCATATTTTTAGGAATAAGTTGTGCTTTTTTCTGATCCTCATTGCTTCTTCTCCATTTAAAACAAAAAAGTTGCCCTTGGGGTTTAGGAAGTTGGCCATCTCTGCCAAAGGGAAAAATTATTACAAAAGCTATGTCCAAAAATCAATTAACCAACAATTTATAAAAACAATTAACAAAACTTTTAATTATCTAAAAATTAGAGAATCTCCCTGCTTTTTTACCAATTTTAAGGTTTTCCCAGATAATTCGTCAGTGGAAAAAAATGAAAACAGGAAAATATCATTGCATACTTTTTGTGCATAAATTCACCAAAGACAAATTGCAATTTTGAGACATTTGTGGTATTCATTTCCTCTGGTTGAACTTTTTGAATCTTAAATGATTTTTCTTCTCACACTATTCAGTTCATAATAATTAAATAAATCTTCAAATTAAATATTTGTTCACTTCTTTGGCACCAATCTTGATTTCTAATTATCTGGGTGTAACTTCTGCTCAAAACTTTAGAAACAAACTTTTGATGTATTATTTGAAACATGAATTCTTGTAGTCTACAGTAAAAATACTAGATGCAATATTTGAAATTATCCAGTCCATGCACTTCACTTCAAATTACCCTAATCACTACATTAGGGTGCAATTCAAATAATATTGAAAAAATATGGCAATGCACAATTAACAGCATGAAATAATATAATACCAGAACAGGAAGAAAACATTTTATAAATAAATTATTTATAATTACAGAATTATGCAGTTAACAAGTTAATATATTGGAAAACAAAAATATCATTTAGAACAATAATGTATTACATGAAACATGAATTCTTTTAGTCTAAAGTAAAAATACGAGATGCAATATCTGAAATTATCCAGTCCATGCCTTCCAAGAGATTCTGACCCGTTAATGCACTACACCACACTATCTGCCAATGATGTGTTTTAATTTGTTCCAGTTCTAGAACATCACGAATCTCCTCAGCAGTTAGGGCACCTGGCAAATCTTGTTTGTTGGCGAATACAAGAAGAGTGGCGCCAGCTAATCGTTCTTCTCCCAAAAGCGAATGCAATTCTTTTCGACAATCTTCCAAGCGGCGTTTATCTGCACTGTCAACAACCCAAATCAACCCATCCGTACACTCGAAATAATTCCTCCAGTACGAGCGAAGGGATTTCTGACCTCCTATATCCCACACATTTAGTTTATATCCACGATGTTCTAAAGTTTTTATATTGAATCCGAGCGTGGGCGAGATCGTGTCAATCGCTTCTCCATTAAATCTTTTCAAAATTGTTGTTTTACCTGCATTGTCGAGACCCAGCATCAATAGTCTCATCTCTTTTTCCTTCTGCCTCATTTTCTTAAGAACGGTCAGAAAACCCATTTTATTTCACCGTCAATTTTAAGCTGATTGTGCACAACGCAAAAATTTTGACACTACCTAATTATATGATGTTGACTGACGCCATCTTAAACGTGATGCAAGTGTTTATTTTTAGTACCAGCACAACCAATACAACAAAAACATTTAACTACAAAAATAATTGGTATGCTTATCCCTTGAAAGTTAAATCTCTGGTAGATTGACGAATACTATAATTAGCAACAAATTACTAATTGTTGTCGCAAATTAAAAATACAGACAAGAAAAACATAATTTGCTTACCGCATTTTGTGATCGACGTTGGTACGACAGCGGTAACATTTTCCGAATTTTAAAATTCAGTCCGGAATTAAGTTATCGAAACTGTCATCTTTTTTACAATCGTTTTCCTTTATATGTACATAATATTCTTCATGCCATTCTCCTATATAAGAATATGCCATCCCTTGCCTCGATCTACTTTTAATAGCTTCAAAACTATTGCTGTCATTCGCCCTGTCCGTGTCACTATCGCTAGAACTTGTAGATATTTCACAGCTATTACTCACTGAAAAACAACTCTCCTTCAGTTCAAGTTTTTCTCTTTTTTGAGACACACTTTTATAGAAACAAGATCGAAGTTCCATCATTATAATTTCGGCTTTCAAATCTCTTAATGGACCTGAAAACTCGTTAAGGTCATAAAAAATGTAATTCAACTAATTGAAGATATTAATCGTTAACTTTATTTCTACTATGTTTCCTCTGAACATTCTGAGTACCATATGTATTGTTTTGATAAACACATCATGTCCTCAGAAAACTATATGTAAAATTAATACATTTTCACACCAAGTTTCAAAATTAGTTATTCCTGATTTCTGTCAGACGTGTGCATTTATGGTATATTAATAACAAAAATTTAAATACAAAATCTGGATTTTATTTCTTGATATATGTACATTTTAAGAATTGGTGTTTAACCATGAACTTGAATCCTTACTTAAAACTTGTGATCATTTATACACACAATGTGCATAGTTGTGTCATTTATATGCAAAATAGAATTTGGAGAGTCACAAACTTTGCTAGCAGAATGTGAATAAATATTATGCATGTCTGCATTAGTTCCCTGAAAGGAGGACAATCCAAAAAAAGATAGCAATCAAAGTGTTATTTCTGGAACAAAAAATATTATTCCTCTAAGATTTTTTGTTTTTTATGAAATTGAAATTGACATTCTTAATTATTATTACATAAATATTATCATTTATAAACCAAAATCATAGTAAAATTTGTAACCGAAAATCATAATCAATAAAAAGGATACAAATGAAAGACACAGTAACAACTCGTAATTCTTCTGTGCATTGGCTCATTACACCAATAACATAAACAGAGTCACCTTCTTGCAATGCATAATCCTGATCATATACATCAATTGCTCTTTCTAACATCCACAGTAATGCCTTCACAAACACATGAGAGATAATAATTCACTATTATTAAAACAAACATGAATAAAATACAACATTATAATCAAAGCATACCGCATTGGAACCTTGATTAGTATTTTCAGGATCTCTAAAGAAATCCAAAAGTCTCATAGTTTCTTCCTTGTGATGAGTTTCCACATATGTTTCATCATAGGCACATATTATTACACCTGTACCATCATCAACTAAAAAAAGGCAGACACATTTTTAATGCCACTGTTAACTTTCAAGGTGATTTTCAATAAGATATACATACCATTGTAAGTAATAGCAGATTTCATCCTTTCTACATTAGTAATTAGACCGAAGATGGTGACTTCCTTAATCCTAATACCTCTGAATAAGAATGCTTTACTGGCAAGTGGATGATTTGGCATAGTAAGAAGATCACTGATCCATAACATGGGGAATTGATCTTGAAATCCTTGTGTCATTCTGTTATACACAAGTTGCAGCAATTATATCACAGACCATATATCCTTCTGTCCTCACATTTCAAGCTTTCCTAGATGTTTCCTAGAGCCTTCGATCTTTTGAAGATTTGAAGTTGTATTCAAATAATGAAGTAACAAATGGCGGTCTTCTTAATATTCAAAGTTGACAACTGTGGTAGAGAATTCACAACATGTAAGAGATACACCGATTGCCTTTGGATAAAGAGCCGTAGAAAGAGAAATTAAAATTAATTACCGAGAGATTAATTTGAGGCTCGGCTATATTTCACTGTCACTCATAATTACTCTAATATTATTGGTTTTATTATACTTTTACATTGGAACAGTTGGCGTGTTTGATTACAACACAAGTGTTGCCAACACCCAAAGAGTAATGATAGTCGTCAACACGTCAACATTCACGTGGTACAACTGGGTACATTGGAATCTTATGAAGTCGTAACTTCTACTTTGTCCATAAGCTAGTTGATTCCGAACGATTTGGAATCTGAATCACTGGTTCAATGTCCCGAACGCTTCGAGCTGCTGGATTGGTAATTTTCAGACGAGTTTCTAACAAAGTCGAATATTTATTACTTCAAACATCGTATGGAGAACATCATTGGACTCCACCGAAAGGTAAGGGAATGCCTAATGTAATTAAGTTGTATAATACATTATTTTCTGTATCGTTTATGGCATATTTGATAGTAGGCATTAAATATATGTTTCTTCTCAGGGCATGTTGATCCAGGAGAATCGGACATACAAACGGCTTGGAGGGAAACGGAAGAAGAAGCAGGTTTGAAAGAAAGTGATTTACAACTTCAAGAGTATTCCAAAACATTGCATGTAAGTACTTAGCCAAGCTACTTAAGAATTTTTGTGTGATATCTCTTACATGAGGTTGCTTTTAATGTTCAATTTTCTATATTGCAAGTATGACGTGAAAGGAGTTCCGAAGACAGTAATTTATTGGCTGGCAGAACTTGTAAAATGTACTCCTGTGAAGTTGTCCTCAGAACATCAAGATTATAAGTGGTTGGCTTTAACAGACGCCTGTGATATTGTTCAGTATAAAGACATGCAAGAACTGTTGCAAGACTGCAGTAAATTTCTAAATGCCAAATAATGTATATTTGTTGCGTAATTGTTGGGTGTTCGTTTTACATTTTTGAAATTAATCAAGAATTTGAGAATTTTAAATTTATTTCTTGATTGCTTATTAAGCCTTGTGATGTAATCACATTAAATGAATGAGAAAAGAATTGACGGTACCTGTTCAGAAAATAATTAATTTTGTATTTTATCAACAAACCTTTTCAAAATATTGAGATTTTTTGGAATAAATCATGCTCCAATTAATGTAAAAACTAAGATTAAAAGAATGAAAAGTTCTTTTTTGGACTTGTTTGTGCAAGAATTTCAAATCTTTCCTTTAATCAACAATAATGATAACTAAAACTTCAAGTAAAATAAATGTATAAAAAAAGGGACTATATTTCATTAAAAAAATTTAGGTGGTAAAAACATTTTTCCCAGTTTTTGTTTTGTTGTATAACACTAATGTCCTTCTCCTGTTTGCACTAAATGATAGTGATTTAAAAAACCTGTTTGCCTTTAGGCATTTCCCTTCCAATGAACAGTTTTCATCATTTTCACTATTGGTGTGTGCATAGGAAGGGCTGAACCACCTACAAAAAATTTGAGTGTCTCTGTAGACTTGCACGGTAAACCATTCTATTCCTGTAAATATGACCAATTCTTAATTTTCCCCTTGACAATTTGAGGAAGATGACCTTTGGAGGGGGTCCTTTCTCTTCCCTACTGAGCAAATTATCTTAACAAATATTCATTTGAGGAGTATAGTTATAATTTTTGTGAGAAGTTTTATTAAACATTTAATAAAATATCTAATCTTATTATTAATTTATATTTAATAAGAATTAAAAGGAGGAGCCTTGGGTTCAATTCCCAGTACAACTGAGGATTTTTTCTGGCCATATATTCAGGATGGTTCTGAAATTCTGTCTCCTTTTCTTTGAATATAGTGAACTTCAGGGGACTAAGATTTTTGATTCACTGTATTATAAGTTCACTACATCCGATGATGTAAAATTTAATAGAATTTCTCCACAATTATTGATTTTAATTATATAGAAATACAGCAAATTACATTAATAGCATGAACTGAAAATTTCAATATCTTGATATGTTCTTAAAAATCAATTGTTTGCTTATATATTAGATATCAATTTAAATTTTTTCTCTGCTTTTCCAATTGAAAACAATTATTTTTGTTGTCAATTTTTTTTACAATAAAAGTAATATTGGAAGAAAGTTATGTTTGTTCAATTTGTTAACTTTGTTATCAACTATTTTAGCAGTTTTCTTAAAACATGACGAGGTGTACGAATACTTTCGACACTAATTTTTCTTTCCACCTGTGAAGTAAGGAAATTGAGTTATGACTCTTGAGCTCCGAAGTTGTGTTGTTTTAAACTGCCTGCAATTCATGTTTTCCGAATTTTGTGTTTGAAATGATCACTGGTACTGAGGCAGCGACTACTGCTGGTGTCTATCCTACTAATACAGAAATCTCTTGTAGTTAGCAGTATTAACACTAGTGAAAATCCTTTACAAATTTTTTATTGCAAAATACTCCCTCTTCAGTATCAGAGTAATGACAGGTGTAGACCTTTTAATAGCAAGAGATACTAATCAGAGGAGATGCAAATTAAAATTTTTCAAGAAACTTTGCGGAGCTCCAGTTTTAGTAACATTATGTATTGCAGTCTCAGAATAGCACAGCTTTATTGGCCTTGGAGGAAATTTTACAGTTTGGAAGATTCAAGATGTCTAAATAATACTCAAAATGTCATCTAATTTTATTCATAAAAGAGTTTCCATAGGTCTTGATTTATTTGATTAATTATTTTGTGTTTGTGGGTGCATCAACAGCTAGTCATTAGAAATGTAAGTAGTACATTTTTTCCTTGGGAGCCGGCAGTGATGGAGAGTTCAGCACTGACCTACATGTTGGATAGAGTTTTCCCCAAACAGGCATCTTACATTAGTGCCAAAGATGGGACAAGCTCTAAGCTTCCAAATGTGTGTTGGAGTGGTGCATGTATGTATACAGAGCAACTAATGGGGTGAGGATTGAATGAGGAAAAGGAATGAAAGATTGCACATGGTCTGTGGCCTCCTTGAAAAACTACCGATCAGAGCAGCTGGCCGCTAGAATTCTCCTCTCGGAAGCATCTGAATTCACCCTAGCTCTGTAGCTAGTGTTGAGACTTGAACCCTAACACTGTGTCAGAGGCACTGCACTTACATCAGTTGATACCATGAGCCACCTACACCAGTTCTTGATTTGAAAACTGTTTGTGCACAAGCATCAGAAACTACCTCTTAATGGCACAAAATCATTCACAAAAATTGCATTACAATGATAATTAGCCAACATATTATCTGCTTATGGCACAACACATAGTGCCATCAGACTTTTAGCAAACCTTTGTGAGCTGGCAGTAAATTGCACAGTCAACCAGTTTTTTTTGTTGAATAAAATGTCGAATGTGTGTGATGTCAAAATGCAGAAATCAATTTTGCCAACAAGAAAACTTTCCTTACAAAATTTCTTTCAAAATTCAACCTTTATTTATATAATAATGCCGTTATACAAATAATATAAGACTCCTAATGTTGCATACTTTCAAAAGGTGTGCTAACACACAAAAGCTAACCATTATAAACTAGTGGCATACTATACTATTGATGTTACAGGTCTGCCAGTAGAGAGTTTGAACATGTCCATGCATTTTTACCAAACATTTCAGATAGAATCTTGTCATTGTGAGTTTGAAATGTGTGTTTGGGAAGTTGTGGCAGGCCTAAAAAATTACAACTATTTTTCTATTGAGATTTTCATGATTTACTCACAAAGTCTTTATTGTAAAAGGCATCAACTAGTGGTAGGGGTGGTGGTGCTTCTGCATCCAGAATTGTACTAAATGCACATATTTTCTTATTTTTCCAAAGTAAACTTTCTTGGTATTTCATTGGCTTAGCCTTTCGCTTAAAATTCTAATGAAAAGAGAGGTACAAAAATGGATGGGTACGTCTATGTTCCAGCATTTCTTCAATGCCTGGAGCAAAATGAACTACAAGAATTGTAAAACAATTTACAACTTTATTGTATTTGAGATAAAAAACATTTACATACTAAAAATAAGGTTATAAAAGTTCATATGTGAACAAAAATTTGTACTTTATCAATCACGACTTAGCAAATTTGCTGGATTTTTTTTTGCTATAATACATACTTCAGTCAGTAGAGAATGTAAATATTTCCTTTACACTTTATATACAATCTGTAGATTAAAATACTGAATACATATAAATTAAAATGTGTTCATTCTTTATTATACAATTGCATTTAAAATTAATTTCACTTGTAGGAAAAAGGCAAAGTGGCTCTGAAAATTAAATCTTTTACTTAAACTAAATCACTTGTAAAATAACTTAAATAAGCAAGCTTATGAATATCACAGACAGTAGTAAAATTCCATACTGAAAAAGTGAATAACTATTACAACAATATTTCTTTGATAAAATTCTTTGGCAATATTTCAGTGATGCTATTAAATTAGTCATTGATTAATATCATCATTACCAGTGTTTGTGGCGATTTGAATATTGGGATTTAATACTTTTAGAGCCCTCGCACACAAGTACTGTATTGAATCATGTGATGCAACGCGCATTGTAGAATAACATTATCTTATGCAAAATGGCACATGAGCGCATCGGCCGTTCTACACAAGATAGTGTTAATCTATGATGTGATTTTCTTATGGTGGATCAATGCAAAGCTCTTGTGACACGGTCCTTAATTAAGAAATAAAACCACATTTAATCCTTTGTCTAATTGAATTCATCAAATTTTTTATTATTAGACAATGACGCAACTGCAAGTGAACTCTGATGTCTTTCACCTTCAGGGAGGAAAATATGTAATAAACTGTAAAGAAAGTAAAGTACACTCCAAAAAGGTTAGTCATAATTGTACCATTGCATAATTGTACTGTTCTTGTGTCACAGTCGTTAATTAGGAAATAAAACCACATTTAATCTTTCGTCTGATAATAAAAAATATGATGAATGCAATAGTACAATGACACTATACCAAGTGGACTCTGATGTCTTTCACTTTCAAAGGGGAAAATTTGTTATGATCTGTGAAGCAAGTATACCCCAAAAAAAGGTTCGTCATAATCGAGTCATTCCTTGTAAAATCGCACACTCATATCCCTTTTTTTTACCGCCAGGAAACTTTTTTATGAGTTCTAGGGTCGAAAGAAGGTGATCCGTATTTTTTTTAAATCCCACCCATTTCAGAAATATTACCAATTACTTTTTCCGAAAAATCATGGGCGTGCCAATGTTTAAAATTTAGTTGTGCAAATATAGTCCTTCTAAACAATAAAAATACACTTAAATTTAAATTTTTAAAATTAAAATTTTTTAATTCGGACGACACTTAAATTATTTGTAAAAAATGCTTGTGTATTTATTCACTAATTTTGTATAGATCTGCCAAATTTCAAAGTGGGACACATGTAATTAACATTTCAAAAAATTTGTTCGTTCAGCAGTGCACGAATACAGCCCGCTGTCTGTTGCACTCGCAGCTCAAACCACGGGGTGTCAATGACATGGCGCACTGTGATGTCCACACATAATGCAACCGTGAGACTTATCACGTATTATTAATTGCAGAAACACACATTGTCTCAAATGGAAGTCTTCTGATGAAATGCGACTATTAAGTTTATTTATAAACTACTGACACTGCTAATGTCTGCCTGAAACAGAGCAACCTTCTTTCTCAGATACTCTGAGTCAGTTGTGTAAACAGAAAAATTCGTGAAACATATGTGTTGTTCTGTGAAGTTAGTAACCACAGGTAAACTTACAATAATATCAATACTATTGCTATCAGCATTTTCTTAATTTGAAAAATCTATAATTGCAGAAGAAGAGTATATTTAGGGGATACTTGAGAAGTTGAAAATTGACAGCGTCAAAATAAGTAATATGTATTGGAAAAACTACCACCATATTCTTAATAAAAGATAGCTTTCAATTCTGAAGAGAACCTATTAATTTACTTAGGAAGTTATTTAAGTGGGCTGATGATAATGTGAAGAACATTACCTTTATATTTTTAGCAACACTGAATATTTGGAAAGAGAACTATTGCAACAATGATACAATAAAAACACAGTAGAAGGCACAGAGAAAATAGTTTCATTTCTTTATGACAAAGTCATTTAATGATATTCTCTATAAAGTGAAGTAAAAGTAATATAAATTTAATTAATTACATCACATACTCTTATTCAGATAAATATGCGTGTGTTTAATACTAAATTAAGTCCATTTGACACTTAATTGTCTATGAAGGTCATATACATTTATATATCGTAGTAATAGTCTACTACTGATTGGCACATGCTTGAGGGGTGACACTCTAGCAGACTGCAGCAAAACAGCAAGAACACATTTCTATTGTATTTAATTTCTAAGAATCATTTCGGTGTCCCACTTTGTAACTTACCAGACTTATGCAAAACTTTTTATAGATTATAATGGTATTTATTTCAAATTTTTAAACTTGATTTTTTGAAAAGAAATTTAAAAATATAAATAAAGTAGGTCAAAAAATGATTTTAAAAATATTTTATGAATGTAATACATACATCAAAGGAAAGAGCATCTTTTTATCTTTAATGTCACAAAATATTAAATTTCTGTCACAATTACACAAGCTAAAAATGATTAACTTTAGCAATCGCTAGCATTTTTTCAAAAATTTTAAAAATAATTTAATTTTGAAAAATAATATTTAGGAAAAAATTAAACACTTGTTTCAAATTTTTTCTTCTACTCTTCACAAAAAAAAATATTTAAAAATCTGGGACATCTTGGCAAAATTTTCTATAAGTTTGTGCGATTTGACGTGAAATGACCCAATTGTACCATGCTTGTGTGACACAGGCCTAAATTAGGAAATAAAACCACATTTAATCTTTCACTAATAATAAATAATTACGGGTGTCCCAAATTTAACGCAAGATTTGAATATGCTGCCGTTTGCGCAGTTAAATGTTGGCAACACTTTTTTTCAGTGTAACAGGACAGTCTAGGGTAGTAAAAATGGAGTGTTACATGACAGAACAACACGTTTTCATTGTTGAACAATATCTCAAAAATAATGAAAATTTGGCAGCCACAGTTTGAAAATTTCGTACCAAATATGGTCGAAATATTGATTTCACTTTATCAACTGAAGAGAGTAACATCAATTCGGTGTCATGGACATGAATTGCAAATTTGAAAAAGCTCTTTACACGGTATACTCACTGAAGATCTGTCTCCATGTTTACAAAGTTCAATTCGCACACAAAATGAAGGCTTATGACCATGCCCAGCGAAGAGAGCTTGTTGAATGGATTACTGAACATTGAGTGAACCCTGGTTTTTCAAAAACAATCATCCTATACGATGAAGCACATTTTAACCTAGATGGCTGTGTTAATTGTCAAAATTACCATATTTGGGGTTCAAAGAACCCACATGTGATTGTCCAAAAACAAAGGCATCCATGTGTTTGGTGCAGATTTTAGGTTGGAGGCATTACTGAACAATATTTCTTCAAAAATGAGGCTGGTCAAGCAGAAACTATTACCAGTGCTCAATATCGCAACATGATAAGAGTTCTTCCTCCCTAATTTGGACGATATTGATGTGGAGAACATGTGGTTTTAATGAGAAGGTGCCACATGCCATACAGCCCGTGAAACAATACAATTACTGAATTACATTATATCAAATGGACTCAGATGCCTTTCACCTTCAGAGAGGAAAATTTGCAACGATCTGTAAAGCAAGTACACCCCAAAAATGTTTCTGTCATAATTGTACCATTGCGTAGCCTTTCCATAATATTCGCTTCTCTTCATGTTACACAGATTTTGAACTCCAATTGCATCAATCATAGCAGCTTCCCTGGTATATGCTTCTACTGGAATGACATTTTGAAAAACATGCAAGCATACAACTCCCAATCCTTCCAACCAAATCTCAGAAATGCGCTTCACTTTTGTGTTTGCGTATCTGAAAAACAAAAAAACATTGCCATGCGATAGGATTTAGCAATTCTACAAGCTATTTATTCAGCCATTCAATTCTGCAAGAGTTGTTCACAGCCTAAAAAATGATTTGCGAAAAAACACTTCTTCAGTAACAAAGTCTTGTAAAAAGTGGATTTTGATTACTATGTATCTGAGAATGTAATTTACTACATATGGAGGAAGAAAAATCCAAACTTTTAATATATAATGGACTCACAAATTGCGGTTGTTTGTAAAAAACCACCACTTTTTCCCTGCAGCATTGCATAACTCTTTTCTTTCTATGCAGTGGCAAAAGATAAAGTAGAAAAAGGTTTAATTTTTTTATATCTATTATACCTTCAAGATACATACAAGACATTTTGTACAACATATGAAAATGCCAAACTTGCAGAATTTATGAGGCAGGAATTTTTAAAATGATATACATTTACATTAATAAATAATATTAAATAATAATAAAAATAAAATTAAATAATATTTTTTTTACATTAGCTAATGTTAGAACTGTATCCCTTTAACATTTGTACTCTAGGCAGTTGCCTAGTTGGCTTGTAGGTTGCATGCTCCTGTCTATAACTTCCTAAAACCCTCCAAAATTACAGTAGATACAGTCAGTATTGATAAATAACTGAAAGAAATTACCTCAGACTGCCTTTTTTCCAACATTCAACAGCTTCATAAAGATGGGAATATGGACGAGATCTTTTGCCTTTACCAATGTAAAAGATGGACTGCAAAAATATTGACCATACTTCTTTGGGCTGCAGACTTGCTGCTCGACAGGGAAGATTCTTTGTAATACGAGGGTCAAGCAACAAGTATGTGAATGAAGTTTTCAAATTTCCCTCTCTCCAATTAACTCCACTTGCAGGTTTTGCAAACTGCTGGGCAACAACTTGCTCAAGTCGCATCCCAGGACTCATGAAGTACATACATTTTTTATCTTTTAGTGTGCGCTGCAGCTCGTAGCTGTATGCTGAAAATACTTCATTCAATTAGCAAGTTGATTCTTACAAATAAATAATTTGTCATAACAATATAGACAATTTATAATTCAATTATAATTTTCCTCTAAAATGGTGCCCCTTTAGAAGACTGTGAGAGCACAACCCTGAGATGCCAAGCTAAAATTCACCAACAACCATATGTAAATAAAGTGGATTTCCTTGCACACAAAATGCTTGATAGTATATGACTATTAGCATACAATGTGGAAGTTAACCTTTAAAGATAGTATATGCATTTCATTAGTATAACAAGCAGAACAAAAATTTGTGGAAATTATTTTAAAGAGAATGTTTCAGTAGATAAAAAAATGAGAACCAATTTTTGAGGAAAAAAATCTGAATACAACAATTCATTTAGCCAAATGAACATTTATCTATGTTACGAAGTCACTACACCTAAGTTTCTATATTTTCATTTGCATTGAAATTAATTTTTTCTAGAGAGGTTAAATTGTATTTCATTGTCACTCACCAGATGGTAGATGATTAAAAGATGCATTAAGAGCTTTTTTTTTATGAAGCTGGAGTTTATACACCTTTTTGGTACTAGATGTTACAGGCCCATAATCAATTCCACAAGATTTAAGTTCGTTTACAAGGTGTTCAGTATCAATTGTTTCTGTAGGGGGAAAAAAAAGTATTATTACTAATGAATTAGCAAGTCGTTCCTTACAAATAAAGAATTTGTCACTATGTAGATGATTTAGATTTCAATTATAATTTTCTTCTAAAATTGTACCCCTTTGAAGTCATGGGGCACAAACCTGCGAGTTTGCCAAGTTGAAATTTACCAACATCCCTATGTAAATAAATGGATTTCCTTTAACACAAAATGCTTGATAGTATATGACTTATTAGCAGACAATATGGAAGTTAACCTCTAAAGATAGTATATGCATTTCATTAGTATAACAAGCAAAAGAAAAATGTGTGGATATGATTTTAAGGAGAATGTTTCAGTAGTTAAAAAAATGAGAACCAATTTTTGAGGAAATAAGTCTAAATACACACAATTCGTTTAGCCAATTCCAGATAGGAAAGATTCTCTCCTTATTTTTCTGAAATATTTTGAAGATAAAAAAAAATAGAATACGGTAAAGGAGTGTAAGGAATGTCATTTAGTTAATCAGAGGAGTTTCAAAATTAATTTCAATTTCATTCTGTTTTTCATAAAAAGTAGAGCAAAATGTAATATTTTGTGGTTGATAGTAATTTCTGAACTTTCTATGAAATGGATGTAATCAGGTGGTTGACTCATGTGTGAATTTTCTAACAAAACACAAAACCACCTAGATTTTAAGATGAAACATAATTCTGTTTTCAAGTGGGACAATTTTATCAATCCAATTGCAAATTGTAACATATATATTATGTCTTTGCTTTACCAACTAGCATGTAATTATTACTGACGATTCTTAAACTCAATATTTCGCAATTACAATCAAACTTGCATCATTGAACCACTACCAGTCTATAAAGAAATGAACTAAACAGCAGCCTCAATGATTAATTTTTTATATTCCCTTTTTAATATTGTTGCACATTGAAAGTAAAGCCAATTATCTGAACTGTGGTGATAAGCTGTTCGTCTTTCTTTGAGTCTCCCCACATGATTTTCCAGCCATTCCTTCACTAAAGGAGACTAACTTAGAGGGGTTGGG